TTTATATATAAAGAAAGAAAAAAGGATGAAAGGGTTTATATAAGGTTATTATTATAAATAGCTATAATATAACCTTAAATATATTAAATAAAGCCGCAATGTTTAAGTTAATAATTATTTAATTATATTATTAAAATAATAATAAGGAAATGCAATCCTTATAAGTAAAAGACTTAGCTATAAAACCTTAAATATAATTTATTATATAATTATTATTATTAAAGATAAAAAATTGCATTATTATATTATATATCTTAAAGAAAGAAAATAAAAACTATAATTTAGTAATTAAATTAAGATAAAATAAAGTTATTATAATATTAAGCTTATTATTTAAAGAGTTTAATAAAATAAAAATTAATAACTTTATTATTAAAGGTATCTTTTAAACTAAGAAATAATTAATAAAGCAATATAATAAATATTATCTTTTTAAGTTTTATATAATATAAAAGATAAAAGATAAAATTATAAAATTATATAAAAAATCTTAATTTATTATTTAAGGTTATAATAATAATAAAAGGAATTAATCTTAATATAAAGTTTAATTATTTAAAGAATAAGCTAATAAATAATTCTTATACTTACCTTTTTATTAATTTAAAAAAAAGGCATAATTTTTATACTTTAAAATATTATTTAAATCTATCCCTAAGTAAAGTTAAAATTATGCAAAATAATTCTTATAAAGCTATTAAAGAAATTAAAAAATAAATATCCTTTAAGTATAATTATTTATATTATTTAATTTTTATATAGCATAGCAAAATCCAGTATTTATTAATTTAATATATATTAAAGATATTATTAATAAAAGCTTAAGATAAATTACTTTATATATAATCCTTACTTAATAATTATAAAGCCCATATAACCCTTTAAAATAATAAGCATATAAATAAATAATATATTAATTTTATTTATATTAAAATTTTAAGATAAGGAAAAGATTAAAATAAAAGCTACGAAATTATAAGGAAAATTAAAATAAAAGCTAATGCTTAAAAACTTAATAAATTATAATAAGGCTTATATAATTATAAACATTATTAGCTTAATTATTACTTATTAAAAAGAATAAATTAATAAACTTATAATTATTAATGCAATAATTAAAGACGCTCCTTAGAAATATCTTAAATAAAAAGCCTGCAAAGTATATATAACTTTAATTTATTAATTAAAAGCTTTATATAATCTTTTAATAATTATATAAATATAAAATCCAAAGGCAAGAAATTATAAAAGCTTAAATATATAATTATTATAATAAATAAATAACATTATATAAGGAATTAAATATATGCTCTTAAATTTTAAAATAATAAAACTTTTTATATTTATAAATAAATTATTTATAAATAACTAAAACTTAATATTTTAATTTAAATATATTATTATTCTTATAAATAAAACTTATAAGGAAATTAAGGAATTTATAATAATAAGTAATATTTTCTATTAATTATTAATAAAATATAAATATATTATTTAAAGCATATTAATAAGCAAAATTTATAATATAATAAATAAAGTAAATATTAAAATTTCCTTAATTATAATAATTAAAATAGCTATAAAATAACTTTTATTATTAAATATATCTTTAATTATTTATATAAACTTATATAGCTTATATAAATGCCTTATAAAGCTAAAAATAATAAAAGAAAATGCCTTATAATTAATATTATATTATTATAAAAGTTATATAAAATAAAAAAAATTACTAAAGTAAGGTAAATAAATAAGATAAATAACCTTATTAATATAATAATAAAATTAACTTTAAATACTATATTATAAAAGCTTATTAATAATAATAAGCTTTATATATAAGTAAATAAGTTAGTTAAGAAACCTAAAATAGCTCCTTTTTGCTAAAAAAAAAGTAATTTACCGCTAGCCTTTTCCTTTCAACCTTATTACTATTAATTATAAAACCTTATACCTCCTAAACATAAACCTTTAATATAAACTTTAACCTTTTATACTTTAACTAAAACCTTTTTAATACCTTATTATATATAAGGATAACCTTATAATTATTAATATTATTAATAATTATTATTTTAAAGTTAATTTTATTATTATTATTACCTTTTATTATTATTTATTAATAATAATATTAAAATTAACTTTTATTAAATTTATTTATAACTTATTAATATTTCTTATAATTAAAGAATAAATTAATAATTATTATATAATAATTATAAAGTTTTATATTATAAATATTTATTTTAATTATTAAATTCTTATAAAATCTTTTTCTTTTTATTATAATAAAGAATATTAATAATAACTTATAAAAATTATTTAATATTTTTATTAATATACCTTATAAGGATAATAATAATAAGTAAAATTATTTAATAAATATTATATTTACTATTTATATTAAAGATATACTTAATATAACTATTATTATAATTATTATTAGTATAATTAATATTAAAAGTAGCCTTATTATAACCCTTAAATAAAATTAAAATTTCCTTATAAATATTATAATTATAACTTTAATTAATAAAATAAATATTATAATTATAACCTTAATTAATAAAATAAATATTATAATTATAATCTTAATTAATAAAATAAATATTATAATTATAATTTTAATAAGTAATAAGATAAAGATTAAAATTATTATTAAGGCTATAAAAAGGGTTAAAATTACTTTAATTAATAAAAATAAAGATAAGCTTATTAATTTTATTAATTTTTATAATAAGGTTATTATTAATAATGCTTATTTAATAAATATTAATAAGGATATTAATAATAATAATAATTCTTATTTATTTATTTTTAATAATAATTTAATTATTATTAATAATAAAGATAATTAAAATTAAGCTAATAAAATCTTAATAAAAATTATAGAAATTGCCTTTAACTTTACTTTTATATTAAGCATTAAAAAGAATAAGTTTTTTATTAAGGTTAATTTTTATAAAATTATTAAAATTAATAAGCTAAAGGTTATAGCTATAGCTTAAGCTAAGATATTTTTCTTAAATAATGCTATTATAATAACTATTATTTAAATTATTAATAACTTTTAATATTAAAATAAATAAATATTTTTTAATAATATAATTAAAAAGCTATATATTTATATTAAAAGTATTAAAACTTTTAATATAAGATTATATAACATTCTTAATAATAAGAATTATTAAAATAATTATTATTTTAAATGCTAAATTATTATAATCTTTATAATAAATAATTTAATAAGAATTTTAATCTTAAATATCTTTTATATATATTAAATTAAAAAGATTTAGCTATTAAAGGATTAAATTGCTATGCTAACTTAAGTTTAAAACTTTTTATATTAAATTATTAATAAGTATATGCAAAGCTTATATATAAAGGGATTTATTAAGAAATATATATTATTATTTAAATAACTTAAGTAAAAGATAATTATTAAGGAAATTAAAAAACATAATAAAAAGTAAGAAAAGGAATTAATAAATAATTAAATTGCTTATAATGCTTAATTTTAAAAAAATAAAAAGTAATTAAAGGAAATTAATTTAAAGTAATATTAAGTATATTTTAATAATAAAAGTAAAGATAAAAATAATAATATTTATATTATAAAGATATATAATAAAAATAAATATAAGCTAAAGGGTTTAATATTAACTTTATAAGCATTAACTTTCCTTATAAAGAAGAAATTTAAAATTAAGGCCCTTATATAAAAGTTAATAATTTTTATAAAAACGCAACCTTAAAAGCTAAATATTAAAAATAATAAGTTTAAGGAATGGTATAATAATAAGAATTATTAAAACTTACTTTAAAACTTATAAGTTATAATTTTAAGCTTTTTTCATAATGCTTTCTTATAATAAAGATTATATATATTTAATATATAATAAATTATAATTTTAAGCTAATTATAATAAGGATTATATATATTTATTAAAAAAAAAGAAAAACTATAAATATTAGTAAGTATAACCCTTGCACTTAAAAGATTACTTTAGTTATCCCCTTCAGGGCACATAGCCTCTTAAAACTTAGATAGAATAATACCAATATACGATTGCTTCCCATACGACTATCGTATGTACGAGAGACCTACCAACAATTTCCGTCTAGAACTCATGTCGGCTGGTGTAAATGTTGCCTTCTCTTTGAGGATGGTTTGAATCGAAAGACTGAAGTGTCGTTAGGCCTTATCAGAGTGCATAGCTTGGACTGCTTCTGATGATAGGAAACAAGAATCCAGTGATGGAGAAATGGGCCATTTTTATATGAGAATCCGTCGATGACATCTTCCCAAGCCGTCGTCAAAGCGTACCGTTGACATTTGGAGCAGTTAGTCACAACACGTCCGAAGTCTGTGACCGTGACTAAATAATTCAAACATAACCCAGGGAGTGATCACGGCCGAAAACAGGTGAAAGTCTGCATTTCCCTAGGCAAAGGTTCACTGATGCTCTCCGAGGATACAAAATGTACAAAGCTCCATGCCCGGCTTCAGAATCAACTCACTCAGGATATCATGGTGAGAACCAATGTCACCACTTGGATTAGCCACATGTATCGGTGCAAGGCCCAATATATATACATGACCATGACCGGCCGGTGGGAAGAAAAAGAAGAAAACAAGCTCCCTCGAAGTATGAGCTGTCTTTCTCGATGACACTCAATGTTTGGTTGGATGCGTAGAAAACGATAGTTACACGAGATCGGAAGAAAGGACAAACGTTCTTGACCCATGGGCAGCATTAATTCTCCAACAGTCTGTGTGATACATATCATTAGCAACGGCCAGAGTAGGTACTCACGTTGGGACCACTGACGTACAGCGAGATAAGGCGCCTACTGAAGAGCTACCTGTTGATAGCGTTTGGGCATCACGTATGGCTGGTATTTGTCAGAGATGTGAAAACATCGCATCATGCGTCTTTCTAATGCTATGAAGCCTAGATTCTGCACTCTCCAAAACTGAATGGCTCTGATCGCAATCACAAGCAACCCGTGAAATTGCTGCTGGTCGCCTAAGCTGTAACTCGTTAGTCGCCTTGTTTCGTTCCTCCCCCTTCCCCCAATTCCAGCATATTATGCCCTCCCTGAGTTGCTTCCTCGTACAGGTTGTGATTGTTGGCCTTTCTTATCCCAAATCCACACAACGCCTCGAAGACGATTCGAACGAAGCTGGACAGCGAAAGCGGGGCGATGGGGGTCATACTGTCGGCCGATACAGTCCCAGTCGACCACCATATCATGATCCTCATATCCCTGGACGTAATTCCATAGCTTCTTGTCATCATCCTTACTCCAACCAGCACCTATCAGCTTGGCGTGCTTTGCTAGATTTTGCCTGGTCAAGTTTCGGAACCTCTTCACCCCGACTAATTCTCCACAACTCGTGCCTTGAGCTAGTCGGCGCCTCATATCATCATCGTCCTCGTCGGTGTATTGATGGCGTCCACGCGATTGCTTATGCTGCGTCCGGACGTCTTCGTCCTTTTTGAGGCGGCTGAAACGAGTCTGAACCTCCTCTGCGTTTCTCGGCGCGCCAGGAAGCTTGCTGCTAATTGCAGCCCAGTTGTCACCCTCCACCGGGTGTAATTCAAGCAACTTTTGGTCTTGCTCTCGCGTCCATTGTCCCCACTTCTCCCTGAGCCGACCTCTTATATACCCCGGGCTGCAGTCAGGATAAAACTTTTCGGATATTTGGGACATCGTGTAACCGTCGGCAGATTTGATTTTGATGTCTTCCATTTCGCGAGGTTCTAGGTGACGGTTGGAGGTGTGCACACGCCGCCGGCGGCAGGCACCGCCGACAGCTTGCTCCTGGTCGTTCAACACGCGGCCGGCTTGTCGCTGGTCGTCCCATTCACTGTTACCTGGCACCTGAACGTCAGCCTCGCTATCACTTTGCTCCGCGTCGCCCGCCTCGTTGCCAAGGAACATCTGAGGCGGCATTTGAGGGCCGCCGCATTGCTGTGCTGACGAAGAGCTGGGACCCGCGAAACTCTGGCTGGCTGCTTGTATTTGGAGTAAACACGGGGCAATGAAGGAATAAGAATTGTCACTTGTGTGATTTGGATTGACTTGGGGGTACGATGTGTGCGGCTGGCTGTTGTAAAGGTGCTGGTGAAAAGGCTCTTCACTTGGCGTGCAAGTGTTTTGTGATTCGTCCTCGGGAGAGTTCAACAAGTGCTTGATACGCCACCTAATAGCATAAGGTTCTCGTGATGGATGGACATATCCGTACTCTTTAAGCCTGCTCAGGTCTTCATCAGACGCATCTGGATGAACCTCAGACTCACGCAGCCGGTCGTCGTCATCCCTTTCCCAGATTGCGTGTATAGCATATGCTTGGGCTTCCAAATCATCAGCAGTGACGTCCTCTCGATCCAGGAACCAATTGTCTTTGATAGCGGAGCACGTATCGCCCGCAGCGATCGCGATGCAGATGTTGTAATTGTCGTCATCGTTGAACTTGCCGGCTGCGGTGTTTGTTGTGTCTGGGCCTTCCCACCAGCCAGATGGATGGGGATTGTTATCATGACCATAGCGTAGATAGCGTACCAAAGGAGCAAGTTCGCCGAAACTCCCAATGGGTTGTGTGAATTGTACATCTTGGGGAGCACTGGAGGCTGGCTGTTCCCAGGATCGTCCCCCGGCTTCAAACGAGTGACGATGTATCTGGGGATGTTTGCCTTTCTGGTCATAACTCATGCTGACTATTCGTTGCGAAATTGATTTGGAGTTGGGCATGTGTAAATTTGACTTCCGGCAGAGGGTATCGCGAGATTTGTCGAAGTGAAAATCGTCAACCTTCGTTGATGAGAGACAGCAGCAGGTCCGGTTGGAGGGAGGGGCAACTTTTATATGGAAGAGACCGCGGGTGACACTATCCATATACACGGTCACAAGAGACGTTTAATCAGTTGGTCAGAATGCGCCCCAAGTCTGAATCTGCGACTGTGTCTGTCTTGTTGGTCCTGAAACTGTCAGCTTCAGTACCTTCAGATAATGGAAAGCAAGATATGATGTCCATGGTCAATGGAGACCATATTGTAGATTGCAGCACTGCTTCATTTTTGGCAATGATTTTCAGCACTGATATGGAATCCAATGTCTGACCGCAAACGCGCTGGCAAGCCCTGGGTTGGATGCAGCCAGGCTCCATTATAGAGATCAAGGCTCAGCTGCTTGCTCAAAAATATCCCAGAGCGTTTAATCCGACTCCGACAGCAAATATGGTATACAAGCTCCAAGATCTATGGTCATCAGAGGTAAGTCGCCGTACCATCTGGCAACCTGGCAACCTGGGCAGTGGCACCTGGGCATGATAGCAGTTGGTTGCGATCAAGATGATATGGCGCTTTAAAACGTCCCAGATGGTACAATATGTACAGTAGATGTTCGACTGGGAGACGTAAAATTGATTTTCGTTGCAATCTGGGCAGTCATGTTACAGTCCGCAAGCATTTGCAGTGTATTACCGTTTCAGTACCAACTTAGAAACGCCTCGGCGCCGGACAAGATCGCCATCTCCCAGCTAGCCGCAATCCACTACCCATTTTAATACCTACCTGATATTCATTTCGAGGTGAGGATGCTCCGTCGCGCTATTCATATTATAGACTTGGTAGGTTGATGTGGCGAGCGCAGCTGATCTTCAGGGATAGATGTCAGACAGTGTGCAGCCGAGTTTGAAAAGGTGCTCCCAACCACAGTCATAATTCCACCCTCAGTTTCCATAGCTGGTGAGATGGACCTCCACAATTGAAGGCTTCATCTGGAACATTTCCTACAAGTCGTTACCACTGCGAGCGGCGTGATACATATTTCATGTTGTGGGAGATGGGGGCGGGTGGAAACATTACTTCGTGCTTCAACACCAAGACCGCTTGCAGGCAGGAAAAGATTCATACTCATCGCATTTTCTGTATGCTCAAGTGCTTCATGCTAGCAACATGACCAAAACTATTGATGAGTGACTCAGAAAGACCAGTGAGTCTCTGGAAAATCTCGAAGGACTCAGACAGAATGCAATTCCCCAGCACCCTTCGAGGGGTAGCAAGCCGTCTTACAGTAAAAACGCTCTAGATATTGACGAAGACGTGAGCCCTTTTCCGTACTCATCTTGCATGTGGTTTGCTTCTTAATGCTTGTTGTATTGTCGGCTCCCAAGCTCTTGCAGCTCCCGGGCCCCCTCGACCATACAGTCCACCAAGTGTTCACGACGTATCTTTGCTTCCCTGCCGCTCCTTCCCTTTACATGCCGGTGGTAAGCAGCAACTTTGACCCAATCCGTGCCTGGTCGAACTTGTATGCCGCACAGGTAACCGTCCTCGTTAGCTGTCCACATTTCCCAACTCTCCCAAATTTATCAGCACATGCAGCTTTATGCCGATGAGGAAATCAAGCTCCTAGCACCTTGACAGAATCCCATTGTTCGTGGCCAGCTACCCACTCCTTGAGTCTAATCACTTCTTTGGGCCTCCGTAATCTGTAAATCTGATGTTCACTCTTGCGGATTTCAGATAATCGGTGCTGAATTCTCCAAGTTGCGCCATATTGCTCGCCTTGTCCCATTCCTTCTTCCTCCAATCCAGTACACTATGCCTTCCCTAGTCGTTCTTCTTGCGAAGATCTTGAACGACTGGCCGGATCTCAAACCTCACCTCCAGTAGTTAAACGCATCTTCACTCACCTTACGTCCGTGTAGGACCTCCCATCGAACCTTTACCGCTTCCCCTCCGCGCTCTGGGTCGTACAGTCGGCCGACAGAGTCCCAGTCAAAATTGGCATCAGGTTCCAAGTTCATATCCCTCAGCTTAGCGTCATCTTCGTCTGTCCAGTTGACGCGTATGCGAAGGGCATGCGATCTGACGCTGCCCCTGTCCAAGTCGTAAAATCCCTCATTGGCCACACTTGCGTAAGTCATGCCTTGAGCTAGTTTTAGCTCCAATTCCTTGTTGATTGTGTCGGTCCAGCGGAAAGGTCCCTTCCGCGTCTTTTTGTTGCGTCGACCGCCTGTGAGGAATTCATAACGGTTGATTACCTCTTGTCTGCTTCGCGATTTACCGGCAGGGCTGTTGCTGATCTGAGCCCACTCATCACCCTCCCCTCGTTGCAGTCCACGCACCTGCTCGTCTTCTTCTCGTGTCCATTTTGACCACCCTTTCGAGCGTAGCATCCTCATTACGCCCCCTCCACGGTAGCCAGAATAGCGGTCCGCAATAAGCCTCTCGACTGGGACACCCTTGGCATTTTCATTCTTGAGGAAGGTGATGTCCGTTGATGGCAAATCTCGCGCATAGTGACGGCTGTCTGATTCAAGGCTGTCTTTGTTCAAGGAAGTCCACTTTTTTCTACACGCAGCCCTGGTCCGACCGGGGAACTCATTTTCCACGTTTTCCCACATGCCGCCTAAGCTCTCTTCATGTTGGGCTACCCACTCCCGAAGTTTCCTGGTCTCGTCTTGATTCCAATGTATGATTCCTCCGGGAGCTGGCGTGGTCTCAGCGGCAGACTCTTGGTCGGCCTGTTGTGGCAGAGGCTCGCCGGGCCGGCAATCCACAGGAAACTGTCGGGGGTCGTTCTGAGGGTCGCCGGCCAGCCCAGCTCGCTGAGCAGACCGGTCCCCACTCCCCAGCCACCAGACACGAGCATTGATCTCATCATCCAATCTCATTGGGCCTCCTGGAAGACTACCAAGACGTTCCTGGATGACAGACATCGTACCGCCCTGGTCCACCACTGCTCTTAGCTCGGCGTCTTGTTCAGGTGTCCACACCAGATTCTTCGACAGAATAAAGTCTTGGACCAATGGGACGGGGCGTTCCGCCCGCTCGGCTATCTCGTCGATGTGGCCGCCGTAGGCAAGCGCCGTCCGCACATCCCACTCTTGGCTCATGCCCAAATTTGACTCTGGGGCGGACAGTTCATACCCGATTTCTTGCTCAGCCGACCCAAATGGATTCGGCATAGGATCAGGGAGCGCTGGAAGCCCAAGGTCACGGGCCCAAGTACCTGCCGCGTGAGAAGTGGCACCTGGCTGGCTGGGGCCGGGCTGGGCGTCCAAGGACGTGAAACCTAGACTCCTGAAGGCCCGGGTGACTGGTGCTGTTCCCACTGTCTGGTAGCCACCACGGGCTCGTTGAGCATCGGAAGCTCGGTAGAGATATAGATCTGGGTCCTCGAATGATTGCTCGTTTCGATCATCCACTTGATAATCATCTGAGCCCTCGTCCGAGCCCTCGTCTATGTCTTCCTCTATGTCCTCCTCCACATCCTCACCTGTGTCTCCGTCTGAATACTCAATTGGGTCTTCGTCTGGGTCTTCGTCTGGGTCCTCGTCTGAGCTCTCGTCTGGGTGCTCTTCTAGATCCTCGAATGATTGATGGATTGGATTCTCGAGTGATTGCTGCGGTGGCTGCTGGGTTGCACACTGGGCTAAATGCTGGCTTTGATATTGGCCTGGATGTACGTATTGGTTTTGGTCCTGGCTTGGATTCTGATGTGGCTGCTGGTATGATTGCTGGTAAAATTGTTGGTATGCTTGCTGGACTTGATCTCGGTAGGGATGATGATATCGATGTGTGCTAGCATCTTGATAGGCACTGAATGTTTGTACGCGCTTTGAACCATCGTCCTCACCAGACTCAGGCCTGGCGCCAAGATAGTGCTTTCTGTGATGGTAAGGATCATTCATGTCGAGATTCTCTTGATCGAGAGTCAAGCAATACGAGAATGTGGTGGAAAGTAAGCAGATTGATATGTCGACACCCGTTGGCTCTTCAGGTGGGTAAACAAGTTTGTTTCGCGATGGAGAGCTTGAGTTGTGGAATGCGCGATAATGTAGAAACAGGTTCAGGGCCGAAATCAAGGGAGCTTATATAGGAAAGGAAACGTGAGTGACTGTCTGGATTCTCATTTCATGACAGACAGTTACTACAGCGGGTGACAAAGTGTACCAAGTCCTGGGCTGTGACTGAACTGCCTGTTCGTTGACAGGTGTGCACAGCATAACTAAATATCGGACGGTTCAGTGACCATGATACTGATGGATGAACGCCAATGAAATGGTCAAATATTTGAAATTCCGGGTCTGCCCTTTTGAACTTGCAAATGTCTCATTGGCAGTGTTGACATGCAGGGTTTTTGGTAGCCCCGGTGTGAGAGTAGCTAGATGGAGAGCCCTGTTCCAACGAGGCATACTGAATGATGCTGGTGGAGAATTCATACAAACCCCAAAAATATTCCCAGCTCAGAATGCATAGGAGAAAACTTCATTGCATCTCCACTGGGCTCTCATATAGACCTGGAGTTTATGGTGTGAGAGCACAAAGCATGTGTCGGGTGCCTGTCATCTTCATGACATGAAAGTCGATACTCGGATTTATAATTCATATCAAACATCAGACTCGCCCAATTTTACAGAGCAAGAGGTGGTCCCGGGATTTGCGCAGTCAACTCGAGGCGGAATGTCGGTCCCAGATGTGATCTCATCATGTACATTTCATTCAGTATTCACTGCATCCTAAATCGGGTTGCCGATTTCTATTATATTTTTGAGAAGTGATCCGAGGAAGTCCTTGATCCTGGGGTGCTCAGAACTTACACACATCGGAAAACATGACAGCGAGGCTAAAAGACAGAGGACATTCTCAAACCACTCGATGGAGAGCCTTCAGCGAGGAGTATCCCTCAACTCGAACGAGCCAAGAGTGCACATTGTCATGTGAGTGCCCATTTCACAGAATGTGTGCTCCGAGTCTGATAATGACCTCATTCATTGGTTGAAGCTTCCCGGCACGGTATGAGATGTGAGGTATCATCTTCTTTCATACCGGGTCGACTCCCGCGGTTGATTTCCTTTGTGCTCCGCCACTCATCATCTTGCACGCAGACGTGAGGCAGCACGTGGGTGACACAGAAACCTTCTCGAACTTTTTGGTCCAAGGAGCCGGGACAAAGGGGTTTGCCGACCCGGCCGTCACAGGACACTATATTTGGGGGTGTGCGTCTGGCAATGTCGCAGACTCGGGCAGCGGGGAGTCTCGATGGGTGGTGGACATATTTGGGCCGCCCTCTTTGTTTTGTGGCGGCAGGGCAGGGCTTGGAATGTTCCTTGGCTGCTATTTATTTGCTGCCGACTCCCAGCCGCAAGATTGTGCCTCGAGGCTGTTTCTGATGGCCCGACATCTCATTCTCTTGTGATTCATTAGCATCAAGGCGCTGAGAGTCTCTATAAGCGCACAACTTCAGCGTTTAGCATTCTGGACTTCATTTCCTTACTGTCGACATTCGTTGAATTTCTCTTGTCAGATCTCATCACCAGTCACCAGTACAACCTCGTCTCTTGAAGAGACCAAACAGCACCTCATCACCGATCTCTGTGACCAGACTCGAATTATTTTTCCAACCCCGGACTTCCAGCAACCATCTTCTCAGTGGCACAACATCAAAATTCCATTACTCGTGTCCTTTCAACAGCAATACAAAATGCCCTCGGTCAGCACATCCTCGACATCGCACCAACGTCCACGCGAAATGAAGCGCCTCATAACATCCCTCCGCAAGGCCCCAACTCCACTCTCATCACCACTGCCACCCTCCCCACCCCCGACCCCCTGCCCCTGGCTCTGGCGCTGCCACTCCTGCTACACAATCTACCGCCTCGCCGTGACCCGGCGCTGCCTCGACTGCGACCACACCTTCTGCCTGGGCGAGCCCGCCTCCCCGCCAAAGGGCAAGAAGCGCAAGCGCGGCGGGCCGTGCAAGGCCGAGTTCGACTACACGGGCTGGAAGGCCCGGGGCTCGTGGCGCCGGACGGTGCTGCTGAACGGTGACGCGGCCGGCACCGCCACAGGCCTCGTCGCCAAGAAGAATGAACAGAACTGGGGCAACGAGCACAGGGCAGCCACCGAGGCCATAGGCGACGAGGCCCGCTTCGAGGACAAGCGCGAGCGCCTGTTCCTGCGCAGGCGGCACAGCTGCTTCGTCCACTGCGACTTCCCCAGCGAGTGCCACCACTCGCTGTTCCGCGCGCAGCAGGAGGGACGCCCGATCCTCCGCGAGGCCGAGGCGCTGGACGCCGCTGAGGCCGCTGCGCTGGAGGAGGCGGAGGCGGAGGAGCGCGAGAGGGAGGGCAAGCGGTGGACCAGGCGGCTCACGGTGCAGGAGTACAAGCAGCGGCGGGCCGAGAGGCGCAGGAAGTCGAAGTCGGCGGCGGTGGTGTGCATGTCCGATGCGGATCTCTCGACCGTGACTGAGGAGGATGACGACGACGACAACGACAACGACAACGTATCACCGTGCTCGCCCACGTCTCCCGACCCGCCGGGCGATCTCATGCGCGATGTGTCGCCCGTCGAGTACGACGAGGACAACGAGCAGCCGCTCTCCCCGAGCGGCCGGCGCAGGGCCTCGCTGCTCGCGACGACGGACACGCCGGTCGACTTCGCGACCACCGCGGCACCGCTCAGCTTTGACGATACCTACAGCGACGACGAGGAGGAGTACGGCGGCTGCGACGAGCCCGGGGCGCACAACGAGGACCAGCGGCACCGCGCCAAGTCCCGCCGCAAGATCGCCCAGCTCACGGGCGAGGGGCTCGAGTCCTTTGGGCCCTTCATCCTGGACACTTCCGCGCCGTCGCCAACATCACCGCCGGCGGCAGCAGCAACAACCACGATGCACGTGGACAGGTCTGGTAACAACCCCACAGCCCTCGACCTCCAGGCCGCGTGGAGCGAGCAGGCCTGGTTCAGCTCGTCGTCAACCCGGGAGCCGCTTTCCCCCAAGAGCCCCGAGCGCGTGGGCAAGAGAGATAGGATGCTCGCCCTGCTGGGGCGGCGGGGCAGCGGAGGGGACGCGTCCAGCCCGCGACAGCCTGCGCAGGAGATTCACCAGCCCCGCCAACAGCACCACGCCGACGCGACAGCAGTGGCGGGCGAGGAATGGGAATCCTGGTCCGACTCGTCCTCGTCCTCGTCCTCATCCGCCTCCTCAGGGGCCTCACTGCTCTTGTCGTCGGGCACCGAAGGACACAGGGGAGTCATGCCAGGGCCGACGATCGTGGACGACGACGACACCGACGATGACGGGGACGTCCCCATGCGCGATGCCACTGCCCAGTCCCCGCCGCCGACCAAGGACGTCGACGACGAGGACATGGCCCCCCCGATGACTCGCACAGGCGGCCATGGCGTGGGCGCGAGGGGTGACGAGGCGCGTGACCTCAGGGCGCTGCTCAGGATGAGGAACGCTTTCATGAGGGGTGAGATGATATGATGCGATATGGCGATGGGGCCGCGTCCTTTCGACGTAGTATCGTGACAGACGGCACGTCAATGCTCTTGGATTTCTTTCTTTTGTAGATCTGGCATTCCTACAGTATGAAATTATTTGACATATCGGGGAGAAGGAGAGCGAGCACCTCATTGCATTGCATTTCGGCATTCATAATACACTGCGATAACAACTCACTACAAGCATTCTTGGGAGTTTGGCTTTAGCAATTGGAAACAATAAAAACTCAGCATTGCTCCTGTTACTAAGTAGAGATATTTTGTCCTTAGCACGCACACATACCTCCTACTCCTTCCCCTTTCCCCAACGGGATCTTCAGACCACCCGTGTGTCCCAGTCATCCTGTAAACGCGCGAAGATACCGAACAACGTTTGTGGAGTCAGGAGTAAAAAAACAAGGAAGAAAAGCTCTGTTGTTACACACCCGACGCGCTGCCTTTTCCCCGCAGCCCAGAGGCCGGCGGATCCATGCGCCAGGACGAAATCTGACACAGCCCTGCGCGTCCACGGTGGTAAGGTAAAGTTGGACCACCAGTAAACATCATCCAAGGTGTCTGTCCCATGCCCAAAAACCGCCATGGTCTTCGTCTGCCCAGTCGCAAGATAGCCTTCCTCAAGCAAAAGCCCTAGCTGGAACGTGAGATGCCTGCTGACAGGACTCGTAGGACCAATCGCGTCGGGCCGAAAGGCGTATAGCAATAATCATCTTCAAAAATCATCGTCGCGTCCAGCCAGCCCCATCCGAATCCGGCCTTTTGACGAGATTAGGCCTCCTGAGCCTTGAGCTTCTTCTTCTGCTCAACCTTGAGCAGGAGCGCACGGTTGATGTGTGGCAGGACACCACCGAAGGCGATGGTGGCGCGGATCAGGGTGTCGAGCTCTTCGTCACCACGGATGGCAAGCTGCAAGTGGCGGGGCGTGATACGCTTCACCTTGAGATCCTTGGCCGCGTTCTGCGGAACAGAGATCGCGTCAGCATAACAGTACGTTCGGGGAGAGTTAGGCAGCAACAGAGTAGGCGCTGCGGTGCAACGCGAAGACGGATGGGGTCGACAGAGGGATGACTCACGCCTGCGAGCTCGAGGACTTCAGCCGTCAGGTACTCGAGGACGGCAGTAACATAGACGGCAGCCTTGGCGCCAACACGCATCTTGTTCTGGGTGTTTGCCTTGAGGAAACGCTTGACACGACCGCAAGGGAACTGGAGGTGGTGGAAGTCAGTGATCAGATCATAAGGCGCGAGAGTGAATAGTCCGATGCAGCACGACACGTCAAGCCGAGAGTCGACTTCGATGCCGTCCACGCGATCCGGCGCAGAGCCATGTTGATGTGAGATGCGATGCCAAGTCCACCGATGATGTGCCTGAAAAGTCGGATCGAGCTAGGGACAGCCGTGTCATCGGTGCGTGCAGCGTGCAGTGTGCGCACGTCGCGTGTGTGCCGATGAAATGTTTGATCGCCTCGATGGTATTTCGGGTTTGTTTTTGTTGGCAGTGCACAGACGAAGTTGTATAAGCTCGAGGGCGCTCAAGCGACGCGTTGGACAGGATGGATCGAGTCGTGGCATGGCGTGCAGGATCGGTAAACGGCGAACGAGGCGGATCGCGTGCGAAGGGATCGAGGGAGTCGACGACGTGATGCAGAACGCAGACGGCATATAGATCTTCTTACCTGGAGACCAGCACGGGCAGAGTGGCTCTGTTGCTTCTTGGGCCCTTCGGTGGCCGACGTCTTCCCACCAGAGCTCTTGCCGCCCGAGGACTTGCCCTTTCCACCGGCCATTGTGATTATGTTTGTTTTTTTGTTGATCGTTTGGAGCAGGCGGACAAAGTTGGTTGGGAGGTCTGGAGCCTTGAACGCGATATGGCTGGGATTTGTTTTGCGGTGGGTGCTGGCGTGTTGCTGTTGATGGTAGTGTGATGATGATAAGAGCTGTGGTGGGGGGATGCGAAAGTTATGCGATGGGGTCGAAGTTTTCGGGGATGATGGGTTTGAATGGAGTCTGTCCTGCACTGGGCTCGGGTCGCAGGCGCAGTCGTAGGCGTGCCTAGTCAGAGGTGAAAATCGAGGAGGCTGCAAGGCACAAGGTGCAAGGTGCTGGTCGCAGATGCTGGTCCGGTCGGTCCTAGTGCGTTGGTGCTGGAGCTTGGTGCCACTGATTGCCTGCTGGTTGCTTGCTGGTTGTGGCTGCTGATTGCTGTCGGACAGGCGTAATTGGCCTGTTGCTTGGCTCTGTTGTTGACTCCCCCCAAACCTTCCAAGGTTCCAAGGTCCCAAGGCTCGCGCCCAAACGGGTGGTTGGCAGCTGGGCACAACCCTTGCCTTTGGGGGAGGAGCCACCCCCCTAGCTTCCCCCCTCTTGTTCCCTTGGCTCTTCACCTTTCTGTTGGGCTGGGCTGGGTTGGTGCCGGGGTCTGTGTCTGTCCCTGCCGCGCCGCTACGGCGGACCCACTCGTGCCAGATGTGCAGCTCGAGCAGTTCGGATGTGGTCGCAGCAGCAGCCAGCAGCAGCAGTCTGTTGACGGGAATGGGGGCAGATGGAGAGGGGACAGCCAACCCCATCACAGGGCTGGAATGCTTCAAAATAGCATGGATCGAGAGGCCAGCTTCTGGTCTCTTGGACAGATGCTATCTTGAAGGGTGGAAAAAAGAGGGAGGGGAGCAATACGTACCATACTTACCTGGTGTCCGTGGTCATTTGGCTGCGGACAGCTCTGCCCGCAACGGCTGCGATGGCATCAGCGACGGCAGCCATATCCCGCCGCACTGGCGGGTGAGGGACAAAAAAGACGATAAATGGACTTCTTTGGTGACCCTTGAGGCCTTCCAGATGGAACGAAACCGTGTCACGGCCTAGGTGCAGGTTAGGCTGTGGCCTCAATGAAGTCTTTTGGGTCAAGAAGTGCTGCTTCGCTGACGATCCTCCAGAATCACCTACCGGCAGCAAAGCTGTGGCGCAGCTGGTCGACTGTGGCGCATTGGTGAATGGGGATGTGGCTGACCGGGCCTAGCTGACCTGCACGCGAAGGCCTCTGTGATCAGACGCGGCCCAAGCTCCCAGAGTCCGGGGTCGACCTGAGCAAGCTGAGCCTCAAGCCAACCTCACTTCTCCACTTCGTCAGGTCAAGTCAACAGGGCCAGGCTCTTCTGACTGTTAACAACTGAAACTTTGTTTCTCTCATTTCTGCCAAACCCATGTTTTCTCGACCTATTTTGACTTCTCCGTCCCGCCCATCCTTCTTACGCGTTGTGCATCGCCATATAGATTCTTCATTGCTAATGTTTACTTCATCGTGCCCGTGAAGATGACAGTATTTGTCGATGCGCCTCTCTTCTTCATGCAGGCGTTGCCATACCACGAACATAGCGCGAGCCAAGTAATGGACAGCCCGGGTGGGCTCTCGTCTGGGGTCCACCAAATCACAGTCGGTGAAAGCGATAGTACGAGGAGAATGAGTAGAAACTCAACTTTATGTCTCATTCTAACGGGACAGCAAGAGTCTTCACGACAAACTACTGTAGAACCATCTTCTTTACACGATTGTGACCACAGCCTCCTCAGCGGAATCATACCAGCTCTTGGGCAGATTGAAGATAGCTCCAACCCTTTCCATACATCCAGCTGAACGTGGTGATGTTCCCAATACGAGTCCAACGTAATTCCTGCCAATATGGCCGACGAACGGACAACAAGCAATGAAAAACACAGCCGCAGTGACCTCCTCCTTGGCCGTGTCCACACCGTACGGCCCATCCCGAGCCCTTCGCACGTTCGCCCCGTACGGACCCGGCACGGCCTCGCGCGAGAGAGGCCCGTCAGTCCGGTAATGCTGCAGCTTGCTCGTCGTGCCGTCCGCCAACGTGTAACACGCGTCATGTTCCAGCCGGAAGTCCCACTTCAACCGGCACCGCCTGAGCCGACCCTGGAGCTTGATCACACCGCCGGAGACCTTCCCGTACGGGTTGGCCCCCTCGACCGTGGCCTTCGCGTCCAGGACCCTGGCGACAAGCTGGGGTGACTTCAACGGCGACCATACCACCCCCCACTTCATCGACGCCCACGACCACGTCGGCGGGCCCCCGTCCTTGTCGTCGTACGCCAGCGACTCGCTCTCCTGCCCCGATAGCACCAGCCACGGCATGACCTGCCACATCAGGTCAAGAAGCAGCGTATCGGCCCACAGACCCGCCAGGTACCGTCCTTCCCCGCCCTGCGCCTGGGGCATCGTCACGGCCGCGCCGCCGATGGCGGGCAGCTTGTCGCCCCCGAATGTCAGCTGCCGCGACGTGAACGACTTGACGAGCATGCGCCACTGGTCCGCCGGGTCTATGTGCCGGCCCAGCGTGCCGGGCGCCGTGGACGGGTACGGCGCGAGCTGGTCCTCCCCGCGCCGGTGCGTCCTGCACTCGAAGACGAGGGACCCGGGCGCGAAGTGCAGGTTCCGCGTGGCGAGGTACGCCTCCTGGAAGCACCAGCCGCGGTTGTACAGCGGGCCGACGCGCTTGAGGGTGCCCCAGGACGTCGTGAAGGGGGGCTCGAGGAGGCCCTGGTCCAGGGGCGCAGCCAGCACGGCCCTCTTGCGGGCTTTCAGGGGGGTGCTCACCCCCGGGGCAACGGGGAGGCTGAACGTCTTGGTCAGCCACTCGTCCTCCCTGGGGCCGAGGAAGGGGGTCTCCGGGTTGGGCGACGAGGAGCCCGTGACCACGACGAAGGCCTTGCTGTAGACGTCTGCCATCCTCGCGGCCTCCTGCTCCCAGTCTGTTGTGTCGTCTTGGATTATGCAGAGGGAGTCGATCCAGAGGTACGGCAGCTGGAGCTCCTGCGTCACGGTGATGGCGTCCTTGAACGTGTTTGGTAGGTCGGTCACGTTGATCTGTCTCTTGAACTCTTCCAGCCGAGCCTTTGTCAGTGACAGTGGTTTGCTCCCGCCCCAGCAGTGACTCAGGGCCACGTATGGTGGCTGTTCCTGCCAAGTGGTCGTCTCGCAGAGCCGGAGGGCGGCGTTTCCTCCCCCGACGTACAAGAGACGCGTAGGGACGAACGCATTGGCCGAATTTCTGCATGCGCCGTGCTCCGTGCAGCATTGCCGTAAGCTGTCCTTGATGAATCTCAGGCAGGCTTCAGACCGAGTGTCTGTCTGTCGGATGCCTGCTGGGCCCAGGGCGGGAAGTCCGGGGATCGAAGGCGACAACGCCGACGGCACGGCGCTCGGAATCGCGGTTGGGTCCAAGTAGATTTCCACATCTGAGCGGGCATCCTTCCAGTACTTGTCGTGTACGAAACCAATGGTCGTCACGATAATGGGTGCACCCTGTCTGATCATCAGGCCAAAAGAAACCGGCATCGCATTCCCGGTCTCGGTGACCCAGCTCATCCACTCGTCGATGTAGAACGCGTCGAATATCTCACACAGAAGCCGGCAGTACTTGCAGGCCCTGAATGGCAGGCCTGTCTGTGGGCTGACCTGCCGGCTCTTCAACAACTCCTTGGTCGACAGCTTCTCCAGGTCCAGTGCAAGAACACTCCCGCCCTGGACATTTTGGCCGGGCCGCGAGTTCTTTTGGGCACCCGTTGGCGTCCAGATGAAGGTATTCTCGTGGCCCTCGGGCTGGAGGTTATTGCACAGGAGGCACACCCCATTCTTGCCGCTGCTGTACTGTCGTTTGGCGTAGCGGCCTAGCCAGACTGCGGTATCGGCTGCCACGCCAGCGCCCTTGGCCAGATCTCCGAGGGCTTCAAAAAGTTTCGGCATCACTGAGGACCTCAGCGCAATTTATTGCGGCGTTCACGATGCTCGAATATTCGAGGCGAATATTGATGGGGCGCCGGGGTGGGAGTGGCAGCCTCAACTTTTATGGACCATCGTCGGACACTCGTATCAGAATGCCAAGCCTCAGCCGCAATGCAAGATTCCAGAACAAGACAAGTGCTGCCTGTGTGCAACACAGCTGAAGAGTGACCGTGGCTGCTTCGTGTACTCTGATCAGGGCGAAGCTCCTGTAAAGCTGACTGACGGGTACATGTCACGCGAGGTTTGCAGATTGGACCTTTCGAGCCTTTGGAGCGAACCAAACGGGGACTCATGTCTCGGAGGCAGCTGCATTGGGTACACAGGGCGTCGCGGTCCACGACACTGGATTAGTATGAGAGATGCTGGCGTGAATTCAATTCGTCAGGTCCCAGGTCTCAGCCGACAGCGCTGCGGCGACTGTGAGTATGGAAGCCAAGATTGGATTAGCGTTGAGGGGAATTAACGACTGTACCACATTGCGTCTAGTCCAATATGGCAAGTCACGGTGAAGCAATGTGTTCCCAGTGGCACCACGTTGCTGAATTCAGCCGCGTGGCATGATGAGCCCGTTTACCCATCACGAAACAACCTGGTGACTCACTTCAAGGCTGCTAATCTGCGAATCTCACCATATGTACCTGAGACCACCGTTCTACCGGCCTTTCCAGTGGAGCCAAAGCTCTTCTGTTCATATGGTGATGCATTCCAACTGATGATCAATTTCCTGCCTTCAGGTATGAACGCAGCATGAGATCAGTCCGGATACTTGATAGGTCTTTTGGATTCCAGGCGGCAGGGGTTAAGCCTCAATAGGACGTGAACACGGGAGGGGTTTTCAGATACTGTCAGCAGCACATGATCCCGAAAGCATGTAGAAAGCGAAGCCTTGGGTGGCGCCTGTTGTTCTTACAGCTAACGGTGGTTGCCTCGATGTGCCGAGCCCAGCCACTCCACATGTTTGGGATGCATTACCTATTCAATCTGAGCGAGACCTGCGAAGGCCGAATGTAGTGTGGAGGAAAAGAAACTAGGTTCTCAAGCATGCCTTTAGCCGTCATGAAGTGCCTTGTGAAAGCTGGTCCAGGTGAAAATTTGCATTGTATAGACGCTCAAGATGTAATTTGCTATAAACCTGCTATTATGCAGTCAAATCCCAGGCCAAGGACATCCCGTGATCTATCATGTGCAAACGCACGAGCTCAGTGATCTAACCAAAGGCCGGTATGCTGTCGTGTACAGACACGTGCCCGAGGCCCTTTTCACTGATGCCCGGGGGGTCCCCACCGAGATGATTCTCCACCGACGACACAACAGAGACCTGCGTCCCTCCGTCCTCAGCCTCGCGCCGCAGCCTCCTCGAAGCCATGGTGACAGCCACATCAAACGCGTTCTGCGTGCTGACAGCGCTCGCGGCGTTCTTTCCAACGATATCAAACGCGGTCCCGTGCGCCGGTGTGGCGATGACCACGGGCAAACCCCCCTGCACGGTGACGCCGCCGTCGAAGCCGAGCAGCTTCATGGCGATCTGGCCCTGGTCGTGGTACATGGTGACGATGCCGTCGTAGCGGTCCCGCCTGAGGAAGATGGTGTCGCAGGGGAATGGGCCCTCGACAGCTATCCCTTCTCCCTTGGCGGCTTCCACTGCCGGTCTTATGTGGTCGATCTCGTGGCGCCCGAAGTTGCCGCACTCGCCGTTGTGGGGGTTGAGGGCGCAGACCGCGAGGCGGGGGGTTTCGATCCCGGATTCCCAGCTGAGATGGTCGTTAGTTCATGACTTTTCTTTTTTCTTTTTCTTTGCGCATTTGCATCCTGGCAGATCCGACTCACCGCAGCCTGTGAAGAAGCTCGACGGCTTTCAGAGTCGCCTCCTCCGTGACCAGACCGGCCACCTTCTCGATGCCGACGTGGCTCGTGACGCGCGCCGTCCAGAGCTCCCCGCATATGTTGATCTCGCTCGTGGTCCCGGTGAACGACAGCTGCTTCGCGAACCAGCGCAGCTCGTCCTCCTCGTGCATCCCCGCCGCCTTGAGCGAGGACTTGTTCAGAGGGGCGAACACGATGGCGTCCACCTGGCCGTTCTGGGCTAGCTCGACGGCGCGCCGGAGCTGGTGTATTGTCCTTTGGCCGGCTGCCTTGCTGGCTTGTTCGGCGGGTATGGTGCCGAAGGACGAGGCGCTCATGTCGTCCAGGAGCTGGACCCCACCCGGACCTGCTGTGGGAGATAATGGCACCTTGACACCACCGGCAGCCTTTATCGCACCATCGAGATCAGACTGGTCGGCCAGCAGAAATATGTCGGCATTCTGGGTGTTTTTAGTATTGCTGAGAAGCTTTGCAATGATCTCTGGTCCTATTCCTGCTGGGTCTCCGAGGGTTACTGCCACCCGGGGTCTCCTGTCTTGTAGGTGCGAAGGGGCAGTCATGGTGAACCATATGATGTCGAAGTTTATTCTTCAAGGCACCGTTCCAGGAAACTGTCTGTGCAGAGTGCAACGTCTTCCCCAAGGGCAGGCTCGCTAAAGGCTTCTTATTTCTCGGTTCTGCCAATGATGCTCCGCACAGCTTCGGACCGTGATCCAGTCCCTTTGGACTTTCACCGATCAACAGCATGTGTCGGCATTTTACCGGCGCGTCCCAGCCGGTGCAACGCCGTGGAATTGCCGGCGTGGGAACGATGCCAATCGGATGCTCCCTTTTCTTCCCGCCAACCCCCCGCCCCTCACCTCATCCACTTGCACACTTCCCCCATGGGGAACCCTGGAGGGCATCGGTGGAGTATCAAGCCACGGCTTGGGTACGATAACCCGCGGCGAATGGGCGTCGGTGGATCGCCGAGCAGGCGAGAGCCTAAATCAGAGTGATGGTGGAGAGTGAGACAAACATCTCGAGTACAAGTAGTTCACCACAACAATGATATATTGATCAAGGTCTGACGGAAGACACTCTGGTGCCTCGAAATTGTTTTGTTGTTTTGGCGAACCCCATCATCATGTCGACTTCAACACAAATCGCCGTCCAGAAGGACACGGCCGAAACCGTCGAGTGGGCCGACAGCAGTAAGCACCAGCTAGATCAGCAAGAGGCACAACGCCTAGGGCTGGAGTTCGACCCCGACTCGCCTGAAAACAAGAAGCTCGTCCGGAAACTAGACTGGCGGCTCGTGGTGAGTGTCTGCAGACTTTTGGTGAGAAGCCCACGCACCGAGGCTGACCCTGGGACCGTCCGCTGTGACTAGCCGAGCTGTTGGGCCCTCTACCTCTTGTCAAACGTCGACAGGGCCAACATAGGAAACGCGAAGGCAGGTGGGCTCGAGGACGACTTCAAGCTGACCTCCACGCAATACTCCATCATCGTCCTCGTCTTCTTCACGTCCTACATCGTCTGCGAGGTCCCCTCCAACATGGTCCTCGGGCGGGCGAGGCCCAGCATCTACCTCCCGGCCCTCGCCATCCTCTGGGGCGTGGCCGCCGCCTGCCAGGGGGCGTGCCGGAACTGGCACCAGATAGTCGGCCTGCGGTTCCTGATCGGCTTTTTCGAGTCCGGGTTTGCTCCCGGGTGTGCTTTCTACCTGTCCTCGTGGTACAGGAGGTATGAGCTCGCGTCGCGGTATGCGTGGCTGTACACCTCTGTTGCTGTTGCGGGCGCCGTCTCTGGGTTGCTGGCTGGCGTCATCACGGAGTACATGGACGGCGCGGGCGGGATAGCGGGTTGGAGGTGGCTTTTTGTGAGCATTCTCGCCGTTGCGCAACCGAAAATGAGAGACTTCGGATTGCTAACGTGACATTTCTCACGCAGATCATCGAGGGCGTAGCCTCCTGTGTGCTTGGCGTGATTGTGATGTTCGTCATGCCGGATTATCCAACTTCCATCAACAGCAAGTTCCTCACCAAGGAAGAGCGCATCCTGGCCTGCAACCGACTTGCGGTCGACGGCATGGGTCTCGCCCAGGGAGCACAGAAGAGGGTTGGCGAGTGGACCGCTTTGAAGATGACAGTCAAGGACTGGCGAACGTGGTGCCTCTGCTTCCTTTTCGTCATGGGAACTGGAAGCCAGACCATCCAGTACTTCATCCCCTCGCTGGTGGAGACCTTTGGCTGGGAAGGCCACTACGCTCAATGTGTGTACTCCGTCTCTGAACTCTAATATGGTCACATGCTGACTGGTACTAGATATGACCATCCCCGGATATGCGTTTGCAGTGGTCTGCATCCTCGCCGGCTGTTTCACAGCGGACTGGCTCAAGACGATATGGCCGGTTCTTACAGTCATGTCGGGCTCAGGTTTTGTGTTCTTCGTCGCCACTACAGCGGCGACAAACGGCATGGTCCGATACGTGCTGGCCATCTTCGCGTTCGGGACTATCTACGGCTGCTCGCCGCTTACCAAAACATGGATCTCCCATGTGCTCTCTCACCCATCCGAGAAGCGAGCAGTCGCGATTGCATTGATCAATGCACTGGGTAATGGCTCGTCCATTTATGGGTCGTTTCTGTGGCCGGACAAGGACTCTCCCAGGTTCACTCCTGGTTTCGCGTAAGTGACAGCCTCCGACATGGGAGCAAGTGAGTGGGGGGGACTGATATTTCCGCAGGACGACAACAGCGTGGATGGGGGCCCTCGCAGTGGGGACAGTTATCTCAGCGTGGCTGTTCAAGAAATACCCTTCTCAGGCCCAAGACCATGGTGTAGTCATGGCCAACCAGTTGCGAGCGGAGAGGGAGGAGCAACAGAAGAATTCGGCGCAGGTCTAGGCAGTAATCATGGCTATCCAAATCCGATTCCACTTGTCTCCTTTGACATCAAAATGAACGATATGAGCCCTTGCCCTGCACCTCATATCCCTGGAACTGAGAAAGATCCGCGCCCGGAGGAGAGTACTGGTTGCTGTAGTCAAGAAGCTCATAGCCCATGCCCGTCGCCCAAAGCCCATCATTTTGAAAGCCCCACCCAGCAAAGAGATCCGGCGAGTCGGCCGAAACGACCGAGGATCGATCAAAGTTGGCCTGGACGCGAGCATCTTCTCCCGGCACTGAGGCAGAAGTCGTCCTTCGGGACTGCGCAGACGAGGTTCCGAGACCAGCACCGCCCTGTGCATCGGGCCCAACGAAGCTCTGCTGCCGCCTCGCCTGTGTCTTTCGCATCTGTCTCAGCATACGCTCGAAACCATCAGCCATACTGTATACCATGTGGCTCTTGCCTGCTGTGCACGATCTGAGGAGCTTGATAATATTCTTAATCAGGGGTTCTGTACTCGCTGTTGGGTCCACGGTGATCCCAATGGCCTGCCACCGATGTGCCAGTTTCGTAAGGAAGGCGACAGCAAAGGCGATCATTGAATGCATGTATAAAGGCATGCCCACTATTCCGTCCTGGTAGCTTGGCTCATCCAGGAAGTGTTGTAGTATCGCATGGCCTGTGTCGACCGCTCTCAGCGCCAAGGGCCGAAGAGGCACAGGAAGCTCTGACAGTCTGTCCAACGGCCTGCCCCGGAGAACCAGGGAGTTGAGGACAAGGTTGCTGAAGAGGAAGTGGAGATTGACATCTCTCGAGTAAGAACCGCTATGGTCGCGAGATGATGAGCTGTCTTCATTTTGTTCGAGGGCCTGGGAGACCATGAGCCATTTGTCTTTCCAGGCTCGCACCTCTTCCGTGAACCGGAGGTGGTTGAGCACGTTGTCATCAGACCCTGCCATGATTCGTTTTGGCTCCAGGCCGAAATGATCGAAGGCCCTGCTGAGGATCGCGAGGCCGGTGACCTGTGCCAGAAGTGCCGTATCCGAGCTTGTGCAATCTGCCGAGCTGAGGAGCAACTCATAGTCTTTGATGGGCCGTAGAGCCGACTTCATCGGGGGGCGTCCGTGGGCTATTCCTGACTGGTGGTCGAGCACATAGAGCAGGTACCAAAGACGGGCCTTCTCCAAGCACTCTTTGCGTGGTTCTGCAGTCATGCTGTGGCTGTTTTGGTCATCGTTGAAGGCTTCGTAAAAGGCATGGTGCAGGTTCAGCTCAGTCGCCATCCTGATGCTCAGGCCTGACAGCTTCCAGCTGAGATCGGGCTGCCACAGCGCAGCAATGCAGAGGCCACGGATGTCGTCGAGTGTCAGGAACCGATCGAACATGACGGAAGAGACCAGCCCCATGAAGCGTGAATGACACATCTCGTGGACCGATTGTTTGCCTGGGACATGCAGCGAAGTGACAAGCATCAGTGACGTGAAGAGTACGGTCGATGAGCTGCGGATAGACTCAAGAGTGGCCTGAGGAGAGATGCTCGCGGAGAACAGGTGGCGAGACTGCATCCTCCTGAACAAGGCAAGCATCTCCTCGGCCTCCTCGAAAGAGATGACCTTCTCCGAGACCAGGTCAGAATCCATACGCCTCATGCCTCCCTTTTTCCGCAGCTTGCTGGACCGCAGCTGACTCCGGAGTCCGTCGAGCCTGGTGACCTCGATCAGGCTCTTCATCGGGTCCGGGGAGACGTTGCGCTCGCGGGTCTCCTTGTCCGCGCCTGGCTCTTCCGAGTGCTGCCGCGTCTCCTGCGCGGGCTGGTGGGCTTCCAACACCGTGGGCTGGGAGTACATGTCGATGTGGGGCATCCCGAGCTTGTCGAGGATATCCTCAACGGCCCTTGACAGCTTGACTATCGTCATCTGCGTCTGCCTGCGTGCAGAGCATCAGCGATTGACTGTTCGCATGACTGGTTGGCAACCAAGGCTTTGGAAGGCCTCACTCACAGGGTGTTCCCGCATTCATAACTGTCTGCCATCTTGCTCAATTTTGAGGCCTCATCCTCGATAGTGTCACCCGCCGTCCAGGACTTCTTTTGCCGCAGACAAACGATGTCCAGCCGCAGACATCGTGTGCAGCGACCAGAGGCGCGGCCTTCCTCAGCCGTGACGCACTTCACCTTGACCTTGCGACAGTTCGCACATGCCTTGCTCTGACGCACCGCCGTGTTGAACGGTGCATCTTCGTCCCCACTCCGCGCGGACCCAGTCGTCTTCTGCCGCTTCCGGCGGTGGTCGGACTGCTCGGGCGAGGACGCTCGGTCTGCGAGCCGTGAATCGTTCATTGTCCGCCGGTTCGCCGGGTGCCGCATAACTGACTTAAGCCTTTCCCCTCGAAACCTACGACCTGGCTGCACTGATATCGCCCGTGGTGTCGATAAGTCATTCGGTGTGCTGCTTGATGGTCGTCGGCTCGTCGGTGTTTTGCCGATCCGTGGTTGCCCAGCGCCGAGCTTGGCCCTCGACTCGACGTTGGAGGAGGATGCGGGGGCGCCGGGTCGAAGTGAGGTATCACTGTATCAGGTGACGAGGAGTAGAGAAGTCTTTGCAAGGGGGTGGGAAATTGAAAACCTAAAAGTCACCAAGGTATAGAGATGATATATACTCAGGTAAGATATATTCAAAATGGTAAAGATATGCCATGAATATAATTATTAGTGTGTAACCTTGAACAACGAAGGCTTGATGGTAGACGCTGTGTTGATATAAAGTTATTGCTTTAATGCTTGAAATAGAACAAGAAACTGTCTTGAAAGTCATAACTAAGCCCTCCCGGACTTCTCATCACTTCTGACAGCCCTCGGCCTTCTCCAAACTCGCCTGTTCGACTTGCCCAGCCCACTGGCCATTCCCTACGCCGAGCCCCTGCCCCTTCCCCTTCCTCCGCGGCGTGAACCTCGTCCCCGTCCGCGAGAGGCTCCAAAGAAGTCACTTCCGGGTGGCTGTTCGTGGTCTCCCCATTGATAGAGCTCGCCCAGGTCAACCGAGTCGGGATTCTCGGAAGGTCGAAGCTCCCTTGGTGAGACCGCAAAGAGCTCGACCTCTGCAACATCCACCCCGACCCCGTCATAGATCGCGGGGCCGCCACCATCCCACGGAACGGAATAAATGCGAGGTGACCCGACCAGGCGACTGGTTGTGCGCTCGACAAGCCTGCCGACAGGCACGCCCAGATCCTCCGGGTACTTTTCCTCCAGGGCGTCAGGGTCCAGTCCACGCCCCGCACACATTCTCTTCAGGGAAGCCAGATAATGCGGGTTAGCGCTGGCTTCCGCCTCCACCATCAGCTCGCGGTAGGGCTCGATGGTGCCGGCGAGCCCGTCCCAGGCCTCCTGGTAGTCCGCCACGATGAGCGCGCGGGCGACGGCGGCCGTCGCTGCCGGCCTGCGCCGCGCCAGCTCCACGTACGTCTCGGCGCGGGCCCGCAGGGGGAACCATATCTGCCGCGGGAGGTCGGCGTCGGGGGTGTCGTCCGTGATGCGCGACAGGTCGTTGGTCATGATGAAGCGGGCGGTGATGGCGCTGGCGTACCGGCCGCCAACATCGGGCTGGAGGGAGCACCACTTGGCGAACATGGTGTTGTTGTAGATGCCGCGGACGACGCAGTAGGCCTCGGCCGTCAGGAAGTGCGCCGGCCGCCGCAGCCGCGCGTACCTGTCGACGTTGCCGTGGTACGCGGCCATGAGGATCAGCAGGTCTTTGTTGCCGCTGGGGAGGTCTCTGGGTAAGGGGTTCCACAGGAGCGCTGCCATCTCCTCGGTCGTCAGCCAGTCAGAGCCCTTTGTGTTGTAAAATGTAGATGTGTGCTCATCGACATTCCAATCTTCGGTAATGTTGAAATAGCATGGAGCAAGCTCCTCATCGACTATATAATAATTAGGGTCGAGTTGCGTCTTGTCGCTGTCAAACCTTGACAGTGGGCGCAGGGACCGGAAGCCGCGCTTCAGCTCCAAAGTGGAAACGACTGCTGTATCTCCGTTGAGACCACAGCTTGCAGCCTTGGGACAGTCCAGGTCCACACTCCTCAGGCAGTCGTTCATCACCTGCCAACGCACAGGGTGGCGGACGATCTGGTCGAAAATGTCTTGGCTTGCATTGCTGCAGCGGCCCTCGCCGCCTCCGTGCCGTCGGCTTCGCATGACGCTATCTTGAGCCTCCTCGGCGATAGCAACGTCAGGGAGGAGATCGAGCTCTGAGTAGAGATCGTTGTAGCCAGCAACGGCGCAGGCACGGCCGACCTGGTAGCGCATATGTGGGTAGCGCCTTGCCAGCTGCCGGTACGTGCCCTCGGATGCGACATCCGGGTACCAGATGCAGTAAGGGAACTCCTCGGCCGCTGAAATGTCCGGTATCTTATTGCTCATGATGGCGCGGGCGTGCAGTGCCCGGGCGAACACAGGGTCCTGCTCGGCTGACCCAGGCAGCAACTCAACTGCGAAGCCGTCGTGATGCCGGATGCCGCGCAGCACGCAGAGCCCGGTTACATGGGCCATGAGGCTGGGGTCGTTGGCTGGCAGTTTCTCGCCACGTAGAGCGGCTTTGCAGATGTCATCGCTGTAGATCTTGTCGATATCGCCGCTGAAAATGGACGTCCAGTCTGTGAGGCAGAAATCAGCCATCTGTCCCCGGGGGTAAGGAGTTCCGAGGGTGTTTTGAGTAACTCATCATCGTACCATCTTTGGCGGGATCATCGACTCTCCAGCCTCCTTCGCTTGCTGTGTCCCAGGATTGAGATGTCATCTACGCTGCGTTGTGTTGGCCTCAGCAGACGCTCTGATGATTTGTACAAAAAGACGGCATGGCGTACCTAAAGAGTTTTCTCTGACCCGAAAGTCGCTGCTAGTGAGCCTCTGATGAATAGATCTCCAAGGAGCAGATTGGCTGCCAAAACTGGAGAGAATAGTGGGGTTGGTGAACGCGAATAACTTGAAGTTACCTGTGCTATTTATGTTACGGGTGCGGATGCTGACAGGAGACAAGTGCTTCCATCGCCTGCCCCAATTGGCCTCGTTGGCCTCATTTGGAGTCAATCGGCCTCAATCCGCCTGAACCCTGCGTACAGCACAGTCAGACTCTGTCATCATAGTCAATAGTACCACACGCTTCTTGCTACTATAGACCAAAGCATCTCGTATAGTACTGATGGCACTGTCCGCAGATATGCAGCACAAGAATGCGCAAACCCGGCAACCACCTTCAATATTCCAGCAGCGGCTAAGTGCTGTTTATGTAGTGCTTACATCCTACATAGTAGGCAGAGATTTGACACACTATTGGCTGAAAGAAGGCATATGAAATCGCGTTATGAATTATCTGCGGATTCCTCAGCTATAACAAAATCAACGAACAAGCACGACCATAAACGCTTCGAATCTTGTTATGCGAATCGATTTCATTCGGATTGGAACTATCCTTAGTTCCAGGGCCCTGGCTGGTCTCGTCCCATTACTGTTTCGACCAAGCTTCGGTCATGAAACGCTCGATGGGCTTAGGTTGAACGTCCGGGAACTTCTCGTTCAGTCGCCCGTCCTTTGGCAGAAGCATCTTGCCCTGCGCGACGGACAACCCGATCCACGCACTTATCGCAGCAGGATCCATGCCATTGTACGAGGCACTGTCGTCAAACATGGGCGTTGACTTACCCTTTCCAAGATCCGCCACAGAGTCGTAGGTGACATGGAACTTGTCACCTGTGTTGTACAGGTCAGCTGCTAGTGCTTCAAGGCATTGAATACTCTTGTGTCACTTACCAGTGATCTTCTCAGCCAAAGCCACAAGTTCATTCAGACATGTGTCGGCGCCGCTGATGATGCTCCACTCCTGCCACTCCGGCTCGTTTATAAGACGATCAAGGAACCGAGCAAGGTCCTTGGAGTATAGCATGCTGTACTGCTCATTGTCAGTTCCGGGAATGGCCACGGACCGCGCGGGCACGTTGAGGGACCAGTTGAAAGGTCTCAGATGGCTCGGGATGTTTCGGGAGGCCAAAGTAGTCCATGAACATAACGTTGGCTACGCGGGCATATGTTAACCTTGACTCAGCGAGGGCCTTGGCTGCACGCAGCACGGGCCCAGTAAAGTCATCCGGGGCAGTTTCGCTTGCATTCGCGGCGTTAGATCAGTTCCTCGACTTCATATCAACCCAACGCTTTTAACTCATCCTACAGGTGTATACCCTGCAAACTCGCTCGGGATGAATCGCCGTGTTACCTGCGACTTCTCTGCTGCCGCAATAAGTTTAAGCTGCGCTTGTTCCGACGGCCCCTCGATGTTCAGGGCCGAGATGATGGTGTCAACTCGGTGAGCTTCCAGTGTCTTTGCGGTTTCCTCAACATCATCATAATCGACAGCCACGAACTTGACTCCACTATTCGCAGTCGCAGAGGGAACTCTTTGAACTAATCAACACGAAGACATCACGTAGGTGATTAATGTGTCTCCTACCCTTCACAATTTTTGTTCCTACCGGTTAGGACCAACTGATCCACAACGGTCTTCCCTACATCACCAGTGCCACCCGCTACTGCGACGGCAACCATCTTGGAAAGTATAGGATGATATGAAGAAGAGCAACTAAAATCGAGGTGGAATGCTGAGTTGGAGATGAATGGTGTGTAAGAACTATACAGCGGAGTTCAACGGTGAATAGAGTCGGTGGGCTGCTGAATGAGATTCAATTGTGAGACTGCAGCCTTATTATAATGAGCACTGATGAATATGATTTATAATCCATCAATGAAGGCGTCTCAAGTTGTGTGAGATCTTGGCCGAGGGCAGCGAGATGCGGTGGTTTCGGCGGTTGAGTGCGCCGGTTGCTCGGTGGCCGAGTACCGCGATGCGAAGTTACTTGTGCCTGTAACCATGGATGATGTTCTTTGCTTGTACGGTAATTCTTTAGAATGAATCTCTCTCTTTTCCAAAAAGTTTGTTCTTCTTTTCGCACGGCATTCTCATCATAGCCGAGATTTGAATAAGTTGCTCGTGTACCTGGATGTGGTGAAAGACGCTGTAGCTGAGCTTCGCCGGTACAATAGCTCCCTCTTATTTAAGGTGGATCAAGACGATTCTCCAAGTGCATGACAACACTGTTCATGTTATCGTTCAGCTTGATTTCGCACACGCCTCAGAGCGATCCAAGCCCTTAAAATTGAACCTCTAGGGATACCTACAATCGCATGAGAGTTGTGAGTTAAGACAGCACACTACGCCCACTGCACTATAGCCACAGATACTAAAAGTTCAGAATTGTATAGAACGCTCTAGACAATACAGTGTAGCCTATGCAACTATGCCGTCACATGAGAATAAAATTAGAGTTTCTACTCTCGTGTGCTGCATCACAGAACCGGCCATTGCAAAAACTTTTTCATAAAAAATATTGACGACTCTGGAACACATCCCTCTTCCTCACTCGCGGCACCACCTATTTTGGAACAGCTTGAATAATGGAGTCTTGTCGTCGTGGTTGATACGTGTAAACATGGAGAGCCTTGAGACCCGCCTGGTCAAGCAGGGCGTACCACTCCTTGAGTGTTCGCTCCCGCGACCCAAGTGAAGCCATGATGGTGAGGTCCACCGTGGCGGCCTCCCAAGGCACCCCAGAATCGGGCAAGACCATGTCATCGATCAAGATCTGTGACTCCGGTCCCGACGCTGCGACCAGATGCTTCAGAATCTCAACGCATTTGTCGTCAGGCCAGTCGTGAATAATCTGGCGCAAGTAATAGAAGCGTGCGCCCTTGATCGGCTGCTCCGTGAAGAAGTCGTGTGGCAGCTTCTGGATACCGTCGGGGATCACAACACCAGGAGGAAGATGCTCCAGCGTCTGCGGCAGATCTTGTAGTACGAGTTTCCCCTTTAGGTGTGGGAAAGCGCCCAACAGTGCTGCAGACTGGTGCCCAAAGCCACCACCGACGTCGACAAATACGTGCTCGCCCCCGAAGTCGCCGACCTCCTTTCCGAACGGGAAGACCGTAAACCACGGAGTGCCGACAGCACCCTGCACAGTCATGGCCTGCTGCAGGGGACCAAACCGCTCAGGCTGTGTCGGCAACCACATAAAAGCGGGCAGGTCCGTGGGGAACGCCTTTTGGAAGGCCGTGTGGGCGGCATCGGTGACGTCCTGGTACTTGGTCTCCGCGAGGAAGGAGGACAACGCCTGGAAGACGGGGCCGCAGTTGTCGAAGAAGTGGTACACGCCCCCGCGGTAGCCGGGCTGAGCCAGCGTGAGGGTGATCTCACTGGCCGTGAAGGAGTCCGGGCCGGATTCTCGAATCATACCGACTGATGCTAAGTATCGTAGGATTCGGCCTTCATGGTGAGATTGGCGCCCGGAATCAGTACATCGAGCGGCCAAGTATTTTTTAGGTGAGGCATACAGACTACTTACCGAGTAACAAGGGCGATGCGTTCTTCTTCGCGGCCAACTCTGCGGCGGTCATAGGGCTCTTGGCCTCTGCCAGGGCCTGGAAGATTTCGAGGTCCTGTGCAATTCGAGCTGCGGTGATCTCAAGATGCTAAGCCTTGTGTTAGTCGCTTTATGGATGAAATCGACTTTGCGCCGACTTGGGGTTCCTAACCAGCCCAGATAAACGCGAGAGCGTGTCGTGCGGTGTCTCCAGCTTCAGCTGGAGACTGCGCAGGAGGTCAAGGACCTTGTGCCGCCCAGCAGTGTCTGCCTGCACGGCGAGCGCCTCGATCTGTGCGAAGAGAGAGTCCATAGTGCCACGTAAATGTTGCCGAGGTCGTCTTTCTCCAATGTGATGGGAGATCAGAAAAGCAGAGACCGCCTTCACGATGCGTTTATCGATGAAAGATCCCAGTATCTTGGAAGCTGAGAAGGAGTTGAAGACCTGAGGCGCGACAATATAAATGCACAAGTACGGCTGAGTCAAGACCACACTACCGGGGCCAAGTTGACATTCCCCAACCCCCAAGGACATTCCCTCTTATATAGAGAAGGGGACTTGACCCCTTGGTGTGAATATGAACAGCAAACTTCCCTTTAAGTCTGGCTGCCAACGAATAGACAAAAGAGTGTGAGGTCGCTGTAGATGTTGGTATGTCCAGGGTGTTCAGGCCCAATTATATTCCATCTTCATGCGGCCCTGCTGCATTGAATCTCCAACGACAACCAACAGGTCCGCCTCTGGCCACTTATACTCACCGATGGACAGTTGAACCCCAATGAGAACCATCCCATAAGCAATTAACGCGGAGCCAAGGTTTCTAGTCATTCCTGCCAAATCCTTCAGAAAATCCTATTGGCACCCCAACGTATAATGCCAGCCTAGCCTGCAAGTGGGACACCTCAGAAGCGACAGTCAAAAGATAAAGAAGAATCACAAATCAAAGCGTTGAATACAAGTCGACCACCGTGATCGACCTCGACCTCAGGCGCAAGGGTTTTGCAGCTGGCTCGGCGAAGGCTCACCTGCCGTTACTTCTTGATGCACTGCACATTTTTGAATATGCCACAGGTGCCTCCATCGAGCCCCGTCTTGATGTGCTTTATACTCGTGCCGATCCCATTCTTCCAGGTCAGGTGTGCAACATTGTCCTGATTTCGCGGGGTTAGCATGGGAACGCTCAGTGTGTGATCTCAGGCTTGCGGCAAGGGGCCCGCTGGTGAGCCGGAGGTGCTAGGAACAGGGAGGCGGGCATAATTGCCTTACCTTGTCCAGGTTGCAACGGGGCCCCGACTTGGCGGACCATCCTCGGGGCACAGCGTTGTAGACGGAGCGGCCGCACTTCTCGGGGTCGTTGGCGATGTTTCTTTCATCGAAGATGTGGTCGTTGGGGATCACCACTTTGCACTTCAGGAGCGCCCAAGAATGCCAACACTCGCATGTTGTCAGCGACGCGGTTTCTGATCAAGGCCTTGAGTTAGCACATTCTGGTTCCTACCTGGCACAGGCATTGCTTATTCCACATGAGTGCTTTCCAGGAGGCGGCAGGATGCGTGTTGAGGTATTGCAAGATGACTAGGGAACTAATGGACGGAACGACTGAAGGAATTGGGGGTTGGGGCACGGATTTCTAAGAGGTCAAGGGGGCTGATACGTTGACTAGGAATTGGGATGAAAAGAGGTTTGTGATCTTACCAAAGTTCCATCTTGGATCCTCGTCGGCCCTGTACCCCAAGAGTTCACAGTCTGGTGTCGGCGGCTTCTCCAGCATGGTAGAGTTTGTGGTAGCATTGAATGCAGTCGACCCCTCAGCAGCCATCACAACATCAGCGTCAGATGATTCACGGCTCCCAACAGATCTCGCGCTGCCCTGTGCCGAGAAGAGAAAACGGTGATAGTTAGACCCATGGTAACTTGAATGTGTCTGAATGAGTGGGTCCTAGATTACTCACCAGTACTGCGCAGAGCATCAAGTGATATAGAAGCATAGCCTTCATGATAGGCAATGTGTGGATAGTAGTGAACAATCAACAGTATCGGCCTGTACGGTTGGATTTCTCCCACGGCTTGTAGGAGAGTGGATGGAAAGAGGGATGATTTGAAATCGAAAAAGGTCCGGACCTCTGTTGGCTTCTGGTTCTTATGTAGTAATGGTTTCTTGCTTATGCAGATCTCTTTCAGATCTCAATCAGATCATCGTCTGCAATCTGATAGCTAGTGATCTATAGTCTGGAGCACGAGTCGCGAGCATATCTAGTATTTTGACGTGGACGTCATCGACCCGTAACTTCTAGCTGAAGGCCGTGCAGGACTTTCCCTCGTGATGGCCTCTCCCTAGCGCAAGACGCAGGCCTAGGTCTATCTGATAACGATGGAAATACAAGGATTGAAAAAAATTTGATCGCAGATTGCCTGCGTTGTGGTGGATGTGCGAAGGAGGCCGAGCAATGTCTTGTGTCCGAGCCAACTTGGCAGGGAATCATCGGCTGGCGACCGGCCATGTACCAACGCTCGGGGAGGGATGGAAGCAGTCGCCGTTATCTTGTCGGTATTGGAATCGCTTCAGCTGGATTGGAGGACGGATGTTGCACACTGTGATTGGACCCTGCTATTGGCCATGTGTCCCAAGTACCTGCGTACTTACCTACTTGGTAACTTGACGCCTGCGTGACCCAACGTCGAAGGCCTAGGCTGGGGCCGTGAAAACGGTATGAAGTTCCTGCTATTCCACAAAATACCATATTTATTTACACGATGGAAGGACAGATACATGTGCCATCGGCTGGGGACCGTATCACAACCTTTCCTCCTGAAGCCTTGGCTTACCAAATTCCAAGCTTCCACAGAATACCCATGGCTTTCAAAATTTGGACGACGAACCTGGTCTGGGCTGGATGTTAGTCACGATATTTGTCACGATACGGCACAAGGACGATGATGACATGGCCATTCTGAGGGGCAAATCTATCATCAAGTCGTTTGTACTTGAAATGAGCCGTGTCAGGGTCAGAGAGACATCGGTGTTTGTAAACAGGCACTAGCAGACTTCGGCTGTTCCCACCGCCCTCTAGCACAGAAACAACGTAGCTTCAAATGGACTCAAGCTCCCCGCATAGTTAACCGAAGTCAGCCGGCAGCAGTGCGCCTCCAGAGCCCATGGTCTAGCCTCTCTTTTAATTGCTCCGCAATGTGAGGGGCGAACGTCTCGCCCATTTTTTGGTATCGTCGGTTCGAAGATGGTGTCTTTTTAAGATCTTAGCCTTATCGTACCCCGTATCATGATCCGTTGGTTCATCGTTGCCCAACCTCTTAGGGTCGGGGTAAATTCCCTATGGTTCAACGCGAAGCACGTGGGCTTGACGGCCTGTGCTGAACCTTTGGACTACACAAGTCACGAACGAACTGTGTTTCTGCGCGTAGAGTTCAAGAGTAGCCGGGACACGACAAGTGCGCTTTGTTCTCTGATGGTGCTGGAGAAGAAGCCAAGGCACGACGGGATGCAATCCAGCTTCCACAGTAGCCGGCAAGTGTGGATCACTTATCAGTGCGTGAATCGCGACATTCACCTACCTAAGTGGAAGAGAGGCAGCACGGTCTGGATGGGAGGGAGGTTGTTGATAAATGGTGTAGTGCCCCAGCTCAAAAACTATCCGAGGACGCTTCAAGAATTTGAACTCTTTGACGACACGCGGTCGAATTGCAGCGCATTGAAATCCGCGGCTTTGCTACGACTTCCATCGGTGCGCTCCTGACACTGTCTACCACTTATCCGCTCGAGGGAAAATATCAATATGCTCCACAATTTGACGGCTCCCATGTTTGAACATGGAGCCCTCGTCGAACCCGTCTCCACCATTGTTGGGCTCACACTCGCCGTCTTTGGCACGCTCCAGAGCTCCCTTTTCACTTACACGGCTGTAATGGGCCTGGGAAAGGGAGACGGCTGGATGCCGCCGCCAAAGGAATGGGGCAAGGCGTGGCCGTTCTCCATCTCGACGGGGCTGGAGGGCCCAAAACCAAACGCGAGCGAGCCTCTCGGGGGCGCTGGAGGACCCTTCCCCGACGTGCACTTGTTGTGAGTTGTGCGCATTTTGGATCCCACCATGCCCGGAGCGATCTCGTAACGTGAGGTGCTCAAACTCCCGTTCACGGGAGAGTCTGGCATCCTGCTTCCTGGTGTCAGGAGATTTGCTGACATCATGACCCGGCAGCAATGACGCTGGCGACTACTTGGGGTATCCCAAAGACACGAACTTGTACATCGGGCACAACAAGGGGCTTGCAATAGATGTATACCCGAACAATGTCCACAAGCACGAGGGCCAATACGCCACATTTGCTATATTGGCGGCCAAAGGTGAAGGTCGGGATCCATTGTGCATCGTGGATTTCGGACTCGGCTACCCCAACGTGAGTAAACGACCCACATCGCACACTGTGACCGCCCGGGCAAGCCCAGAGATCTACGTTGGCAGCGACTGGCTAGATCTTTCGCGAGTCAAGCATCTCATACTTAACCTGTCCTAACCTCGAAGTATTCCAGGCATTTGAAAAACATGGCTCATCGGCGTTTAGTGCCTTTACTGCTCTCTCCTGTGGAGCCTCCTGGGTTGGTCTTCCATCTCATCGAATACATATCACACAGGAGCTGACACGAGAAATAGTACTATAGCGGTGTGTACCGACAAGACGCCAACGGCTCAGTCCCTTGTTTCTGGCTCGGCGGGTATGGCGTGCAAGGCATGCAGGTACACCTGCCGTCGCACACCGTCGGGCAGACCGCCTTCGACATTAACGACGAGGACAAGAACAAGACGCTCGAGGCCGCCCACGACTTCTTCTGCAACCACCCCGCCGTCCTCAGCCTCTGGAGAACACTGCCGCCCCGCCACAAGGTGCCCAGCCTGCTAAACACGGACCGGACCGAGCGGGGGCGCAGGACGCTCAACGACACCCTGAAGCTGCACGAGAACAAGAAGCTGATGAAGCCCGGGAAGCGGCCCTCGTTGCCGCCGCGGGGCAGCGTCCCGCCCGAGCACGGGAACACCGTCACCATCGCCCACGAGCTGGCTGGCCTCTCCGCCTCTGTTCTTTGTGAGAATGGGATGTCGATGGGGCCTGACTTTGTCAACATCCCCGAGGGCAAGTTCTGCCGGATGTCGGACAAGACGCTCTGGCCCACGTGCGACCACCGCCCCCAGGTCGGGCCGACAGATGATTGCTTTGACGTTGAATCGAAGCAGCTGGTTGTAGGGGGCAAGGTGACGCGCAGCGAGCCATATTCCAAGGAGATGCATTATCCTCTCAAGTGAGCTTCACGCTGTATATATGCCACTCTTCTCGGTAGGCTTTACCATAGGAAGTACAGGAGGTCGGGGGACACACTTTCGGTAATCATAACCAGACTGAGTCAGACTACCAGACTCTAGAATAATTCTATTGATATTCTTCTGTTTTTAACAACAGATTCGCCACAATCTCAGACCAACCTAGAAACGCTTACATACAGACAAAAACCATCAAGCCAGATGGATTCAGTTTGCACGATTTCGCGCCAATGCTGAGCGGAGGAACTGGTTGTGATGACTTTCTCAAGTGTGCTTTTAGAGGCGTCCAAATACTCTGAGGTGATTTTTACGCAAATCAGGTTTATCGTGGAGTCCCGTATTACTAAGTGGCCCCCTAAAGGCTTTTTACCTAGCTAGGGACCGGCCACGCAATGTTTGATATGCTCTTACACCCCTATCCCGATTCCCAAATTTCTGCATGCACCGGACTCCGTCAACCAAATTCCCACAGCCATTCTCCCAATGTGGCTTGACATGTGTAGGTTTGACAACTTCGCCTAGGGAGCGCTGTTCGCAGGACTGATCTATGCTCATTGAATCTTAACTGGAGAACGGATATTCGCACCCACAAAAACGGAGGGTACACCTGTACGTCGCTAGCACTAAACCAACACCCACGCTTAATTAGCATATCTAATTAGCCTTAGGTATATAAATTAGCTATATAACTTGGGTGTATAGTCTTGGGTGCCTAGGTTTTGGGTGTGGGTGTGTGAATGGGCTTATGGCGTGAGTGATGTACTGCTGTACCCTCCGTCTTTGCGGGTGCGAATATCCGTTCTCTTTAACTGAGCGATGAGCGTCGGCTTCAACCCACCCACAAGGAGTATTTCCTCCGAAACAGCGCAGAGTGATCAATCCGACTACCACTTTTTTGTACTGGGTGGGCGCACGCAAAGAGCTGGGTGGGCGGATATTGGCTGTGGCTGGAGAGGGATAATAGTATGGCTAAGCTATGTGCTATTAGTTCTAAAAGCTAACTACAATTAGGGATCCTGTTTTCAGCATCTAATTTTCACCGCAGATGTTTAGATGTACTCTCAAGCCTGAGCAGGCAAGGTTGGATTCGTTAAAAGCAAGTCCTAGCTCGTGAATATTCGCCAGCGTCTGCAACGAAGGAGGAGCTTGAGGCGTTCGAGAAATCTCTGTAGGGCTTGTCGTGATGACACGTCGGTTTATTGCATTGCGTTGCGGTTGTTCGTTACACTTTCGGCCGACATCTCGGCAGCCTGTCTGGTTTCGGCGTGCTGGCTTGAAAACGTAGCTAGCCCCATAGAGTAGATCTTTTTGGAGGCCATGCCTTCTTACTCTTTTCGTATCATCTCAAGCATATACGCTGTGTCGTATCGTCTCGTCATATTCGTCTTCGTCCAAAGGCCGCTGTCATCGAGTATCCAACGTTCAGCTGGTCATTCGAGTCCTTGAAGCACTACTGGACCACGGTGTCGTTCCCGCTCTGCTTAGCTGACACACCTTCCGGATGCCCACAGGCCCCATCGGGAGACTGCTCGCCAAGACGAGCAAGAAGAGCCCTTCAGAAATGTTCCCTCCCAAAGTGGAGTCTGGAGAGGCAGTAAGCTCTGGTGAGTATTCACCCGCCAGTGCGCATGGAAATGAGCGAACACAAAAAGCTCCTCGTCCTGTCTCCCTGGGGTGAGGCAGCCATACAAACGACGGCGAAAACATGCCCACGGTGGCGACTTGAAGAGAGTGCAGACTTCGGACCGATCTATTGTCTGTCTCCGTACGCTAAACTCGACCAGCTAGCCGTGAAACGCCGCATGTCCTCTACATATCACCCTGAGACAAGATCCGCCACCCAGTCAGCGGTAGTCCGGCGGGAACTTGCGCTCAGCGTGCTGAGGGTACGTCCAGAAGATCAATGCAGTTAGCATCGGGTTCATAAACCGACGCCAGATTGGTATTCGTGGGACATAGTGTCTGGTTCGGTCGTACTCGCTTACGAGGACGATATTTCCGACGATGTTCAGGAGTCTGAATAGCATGTTTATGCCAATCAAGACCAAGGTAGCTATTGTTGACGCTGGTGGCTTGTTTCCAAGCTCCTTGGAAATTGAGTAGACGGGAGCAACCTGTTTGACTAGTCAGCTTGACCAGGCTCGCCCCTTGATATTTTGCCCCAACAAGGCCAGCAAGGAGAATCAAGAACAGCGCTCAAGACTCACCCATAGCCCTATTATGGCCGCTTCCAGAAACAGTGCGACATTATACGTCCTGACTTTGTTGCCCCGGAACATAATCAGGATGATGCAGAACCACATGAGCAGAAACCCAACAATGGTCGGCGCAAGTACCAGCTTGTCCTTCCTAAAATAGTGCCAGCATAGACCTGAGCCTGCTATGCCGAGGAAGAACTGGATCCAGCCCAGCAGGAAGAATGCGAGCAACACGAGGGCATACCGGTCGTAGCACCTCTTGTGGAACTGCGGGTGGCCGGTGGAGCTGTCATTTGTGATGGGCCATCCGCACCACCGACAGGTCCAGTAGTCGGTAAAATTGCCCAGGGTTGTCTTCCTGCCGATCCTGACCGTGCCGTCGCGGCTCTGAATTGTACACTTGACGCATCGCGACGAGAGCGGGTAGCCGGCATCCAAGGGGGTGGTAAGGAGCCGGGCGACGTCTCGGGGGCAGTAGGTGAGGCAGACCTTGCAGTGGCGGATGAGGATGGCGCGGAAGGTATCAGGGCCCCATATGCTCCGAACCAAGCGCGGGGTGGCGAAGTTGTACCAGTACTTGCAAGTACGGCGTAGGCGTTCGATGTCTCCAAAGTCCAGGTGCTGCAGGATGACGATCTGTATCTCTGCGGGGAGGGTCATGAAATTCCTAGGCTCGTCGGGCGTCACTGGACGGGTGACGGAAAGGTTGGATGCATCTGTGCTTTTGCGGATGGTGCTCCATCTTCGGAACTTCTCGAGCCCCGGGGTGGACGGGGCGGATTCCAGGTCCCACTCGCTGCGTGCTGGTGACAGAGGCTCCGTGATGAATGTGATAGTCCTGCGGATGCCATTTGACAGCCCGGTGGCCACGCGAGCGGGAGATATGCGATGGAAGGGTCCGATATCTTGGTCATCTTGTTGCTGTTCGAGGTGTGCTCCGTCGGGGTCCATGTTGAGGCCAGCCAAGACCAAGAGGGTGGATGGCTTCACTTAACCGAGCAGCAGACCGGGCTGTGGCATCCATGGGTTGCCCAGAGGGTGACTGTGGGGTGCAAGCAGCGAAAGTGTGGCGTCGCGTAGTTGAGCTCCCAGGTGGGAGGTGGGAGGCCGTGACAGGCGGTGGTATGATCTTGAGCTTCAGTGTCACGATGCGGGAAGAGACGTTGCTAGATTCGAGCTGGTCTGTCAGGTCTCGATGGTAGCTGAACAGGCTCCCACGGAGACCGTGGAAAGTGGACTGAACAGAGGCAACGCGACGCCGCACGTGCTCTTGGCCACCATTTGAGGAAGTGCCTGCGTCCAGCTCGGCCAAGACGGGACCCTCGAGGCTTGAGGGTCGAGGCTTGGGTGGCCAAGGTTCGAGGGTTCCTGGGCCCTGAGCGGCGGTTGTCACGATGATGCCTGCTGCCCCGCGGAGGGATTTCCCGCGTGGTGGGGTGGGTCCACTGCAGATGCTTGTCCGAGGTCAAAGCTTGCCACGGTCAGGCCTTCGAGGGTGAGGGACGGGAACAAGGGCAGTGAAACAGTGCTCGGTAAAGCTGCAACCTCCAGCCGAAACTGACGGCTGTAAATACTTGTAGGATTTTGCGATGTTGATGTTTGGACGTTGGTAGATTTCTGTGAGGTGGTGTTGATGTTGGTGCTACTGCAGCCTAGACTTGGACCAGATTAGGCTCTGGGTGGGGTCAAGGCAGACAGGCTGACAGGTGATTTCAGAGCAGAACCACGATGAGGTAATAAGAGTGGTGAAATGTGGCATGGAGGGGAGCAGAACGGGGAACAGCAGCAGGAGCAGAAACAAACAGAGGCAGGGAGAGCGGGGCACCCTTGCCTCACCTAACAGACAGCTATCTACTCGGTACCGGCCTAGAGCTGGGGCAGCTAGGATGATGAGGGCATCTGAGGAAGGAACGGCTCTGCTTAGCTCGGGCGTTCCCTGTGCAACAATAAAACCAACCAAACCACCAACAACCGTCTGGTAGCACCAACAATCAAGGAGGACCTCTTGTTGCTGCTTACTGTGCACATGCAACAGGTACCTATGTATCCATCCGTGTACCCGCAAGGCTCGACTCCAGCTCGACTTTAACCTCATCCGGACGTCCACGCCCGTCAAACACATTGCAGTCAACCAAATGTAGATACACACTATGAGCCCAGCAGTAAATCTCTCAACCGGGCGATCTTTTTACGTGTCGTGCGATCCAACGTTTCGACGGCCCTTCTCGTGCTGCCACCTGCGACTCCGCCAAGGTGTCTCGAGTCTCGCCATAAGCAATCCCGCCCTCCCGGTACCACAACGGACCTCCAGCCAAGCTCCGACAACCGGCCCCCAAGCTTGAGGAAAGCTTCATGTTTTCCTGGGCAGAGGCCCTGTTGCCGTGTAAATTCAAAAAAAAAAAATTATCAATTGCATGCTCAGGGTCTGCTTCCAAAACTCATGAAACAGACGCAAGGGTGAAAGAACGCTTGACTTGTTTTCGACTCGTCTTCTTCCTCGGTCATCGGATAAAATGAACGCACATGCAGTGATCTGCAGTGCATCACACGGAGTGCCCCAGTGGCTCGGCCACCTATCACCACACATGCACCTTCTGAAAAGCTGAGATGATCTACATACAGTTAAGACTACATGCTGCGCCTCTCAATGACACCTAGGTAGGTCTGTTCATACCCAGCGCAGCCAACCATCCAGAATCAAAGCTGACGTTTCACAGGGTCATACCCAGGAGCAAGGAGGACGTGATTTCCATCCCAATATCGAACCTAGATAAACGCATGCATGTCCTTGATCTCCAGTCTGCCGAGTTTGGACATGCAAGATCCTTGCCCCAGGGCTGGTGTGCCGTACTGTGATAATGCTTCAACCTGCCCAATATCAAGTACTTGATTGCTTGCAGCCAGTGCTTTAGGGCAGCACATCCCTCCCTTCCAGCCGGCATACTACAGAGCTTGTCCCGTCCTGATCAGAATTCTATTTTGATAGCTGCCCAGTCGTTTTGGGATATTCTTTCCGACACGTGTGCCAAACTTCGACTCGCACTTCATCTTCACCACTTCTGACCATCAATGCATCACCAATGAAGCTCGCCAAGACCAACGACAGCTGGAGGCCTCGGGTACTTGGCAATATCTAGAGCCACTGTACAAGTGGTCCATAAACCCCCCCAGCTCAGTGCTGTCGAATCCGGTGCACTGCGGTGGCCATGGACAGGACAGAATGTATGAGATGCATCAACCGAGCCAGCATGTAGCCAATTTCACAGATGAAGGCCCCAAGCCATGTTGACAATGTGATCCAAATACGGATTAACGAAGTCGAATAGAATGAATTGTTCATTAATGGTACCTAACTACCTAACTCCACATGTGGACTTCGCCCTGATCGTGAAGCATCTGGACTTCATCCAGCCTAACCGCTGGTTACTAGGACTTGGTTTCACAGGCGCCGCACACATACCCACACGCCGCCCTGGTCACGGCATAACCCCCCGCGGCAGTAGGTACTACACCCGGAGCGACATGCAGAAGAGCATCCGCTAAGGCACGCAGTAGAACACGACGGGTCCTCGGGCTTGATGACGACGGCGCAGCGCTTGTAGGGCACGCCGTACTTGGCCGAGTAGAGCTTCTCGGCGTTGTGGCTTGCTTCTTCGAGGGCGGGCTCGTTGAGGTTGTCGTCGTGGTGGACGAATCGGCCGTTGGTCATGTGCCGGGAGTAGGTGCGGTACCTCCTGGGTGAGAGCTGGTGGGTGTGCCTGGATTCTTTGTTAGTCATGATATATTTCTCTGTCGACGTTTCATGCAGTGTCGTCACGGATCAACGAGTGCACTCACCAGACAAGATCGATGGCCAGCGTTGGAGCCAAGCCCACGCCTGGGTTCTCCGCGATGAGTGTGAAGAACTCCCTGTAGTTGCCGATCGCCGAGTCCAGGAAGTTGTTTATCTTCTCCGGGTGCCGCCACTGAGCGTTGTGCACCTTCTCTGCGAACTTGAGCTGTCGCTGGACTGCCGCCACCATGTCGAAGTCATTGGCAGGGGAGAGGTTCTCGAGCCTGGGTGTCTGTGTCTGCCCGGATGGATCCCATGATCCCAGGATGTCGGACATCCCATCGTAGTCTAGCTCGAGCTTGCGCTCCTGAAGTAGTAGAAGTTGAGTGTCAGAAACTAGCATTGAGCCTTGTCAAGGGCGATATCTTACCAACTCGTGCCAATCGAAGCTCTTCCCCGCCATCTCGCCTCGCCGCGCTTTGTCCTGGAACTGTACGTAGTCCTTAGTATTCAACATGTATGAGTGCCAGATCATGAGAATGTCAAGTGGGGGAATGGGTATGGTCTTCTGCGATGCGTCGACGTTCTCGGACCACTCGACAAACTTGACAGCGGCAGCCTGGCAGAACTCATCCCAGGCTTTCCCGGCTTCTTTGCCATACGCTTCACCTTGGATATCGATAGCGGTCTTCAGACAAATGATTGCATCAATGAGTTTGAGATGTGTTAGCAGCTCGGGTATGTCGGGAAGACGAAGGGCTGTCTCCATAGACTGCGGTTTCGTTTGAGATGGAACGATCATGTCGTTATGGGCTCGGGTGCCATTTGCAGGCGTCGGAGATTCTGTTGAAGTCATTTTCGCGCTTGTGTCTTATGAAGTAGAGACTTATTGATGGAGGTGTAAATTTGACAGAGCCAAGGTTGTGATATTTGTAGACTTTCGTCGATGCGTAGAAACTGTTTCTGGATTTCATCTTTTCGCTGCTCGAAAAACCGGTTTAAATAGAAATCGACCCGGGAGGTCATTCATACTGAAGTCCTGAAAAGCCGGTCATCCCCTGAGGCAGTCACATCCGACGGGGAACAGAGCCTGCTTTGTGACTTCCCGCAATCCCTCTTCAAATCGAAGACTTGCAAGAGCCGCACCGGGAGTCAACTCTGCACGTCACAGAACACGAGTGACGGGAGAATTGATGCTAGGCAGGCAAAATCTTTCTATGCAAAGTACAATAACGTACAACTTGAAAATGAAAATCACGAAGGCATGTGTGTGATGATCAAGAGCTACAACGTCCCGTTGCGACTACACTCAATGCTTGTAACGCCGTTTTGACGACACGGACTCATGCTTTGAACGAGCAGAGCACTCGGTTAGAAAGCGAGTTGGGGGCACAGTATTTGATCTCAGCGACCCCGACGCACCTGTACTACTGGGGACCGATGCTGATTACCACGATCTAACGAATTACCAGAGGTACATATGACGAAACTATTGATGGTAGAGCTATCAAAAGCGTACATGGCCATTTGGAGAGATGACGGATCGCCCTCCTCACGTTTGCAGTGGGATCGGATCGTGGAGTTCGATCGGAAGTCGAATACATGTCACAGCAGTATCATGGAGGATTGTCCGAAAACACCTTAGATTATCGTGGTGCTCATATGTACAGAAATCACGTTAAGCCTTGTATCTACACTGAAGCGAAATCCGCAGCCCCGTCCCAACTCAATGACCCGTCACCACGCGGCCGACAGAAAACCCCCAACCGTCTAGCAGTCGACAGTCTTGTCGTCGATGGCGGTCCAGTCCTGGGTGGTCTCCCAGACGCCCGTGTCGAACTTGTTGTCCGTCGACTGCCACTCGTGGTACCTCCACGCGGTGACGGAGCAGTGGCACCTCGGGTCCGTGGTGCCGCACGAGTCGCAGCCCGTGAACGAGTTCGTGAAGTCCGAGCCATACAGGTTCTCGTTGCCGGCGCTGAAGTCGGAGATGGTGGCCTTGATCTCGTTGCAGGCCGTGTTGAACTTGGCCTGGTCGTCGGCGCAGCTGGCCTCGGCGGAGCGGAACTTGATGTTGTAGCGGGTGCTGTAGGGCCAAATGTCAGCGTTCATGTCCCCCCTGCTGTTTGTTTCTACACGAGAGGCATCGGAAACCCGGCATGTTGTGCTTGAAATTGCGAGGGTGGGATCGAGTCATGACTTGCATAGCCCCGTCGGATGTTGTCCCAGATCACCGGGACGTGGGGTCGTCGATCCATCGAGGTGCTGAAGATCAGGGGAGAGCGGGGAAGTCAGAAGACACATACCAGCCAAGAGCAGCGCTGGACAGCGACAGGAGGGAAAGGGCGGTGGTGAGGAACTGCATGTTTGCGGTTGGGCGGTTTGTTTTGCGAGAGTGGTGAGGAGTGTTTGTTGCCGGGATTGAGCGACGGAGGTTTGAATCAGTAGACCGCAGATCTTTGTTTGAATAAGTAATCGTCCGAAAAGAATGACAGTGCTTGATGCAAAAATGAATATGAGAGTCGTGTTCGAGTTTTGAACTGATGAACTCTGTTCCAAACTTGGATGGGACAGCCCGGCGATCTATATACTCTCAACAACCTTGCCGTGAAGGCTTATCGTTTCCCACAAGCCTGGATCTCCGGTGGACCTCAGCCGCAGCCTTACTACGATATCACGCGCAGGAACGAGTAAGGCGAATTGTTCAGGGGCACCAACCAGGCTGGGCAGCCCCACGGCAGCCCACTGACCAAGAGCGCAGGAGGGCTCTTCGGGCTCTTTTGGGGACGCGACGGTGAGTTCTCGTTGGCTCATGGGCAGATTCGTTTCAGGTTCACCCACGTGGGTACGGGTGTTCGTCCGGTATTGTTCACGACGTCGTATTACGGGCACTTTAAAGCCAAGGCCAAGGATTGCACAAGGGCGTGTATGACGTGCAAATATGATATATTGGGCGCTTAGCTATTCATACAAGCATTCCTTCAAGGGTATGATAAGAATGTTAAATGGTTTGTGCCCTCCGCCACGACCTCCGCCACGAAGTCAGCGCCGAATATCCGGACGGATGCCGGCCGCCTTCGTCTCGCATGCCTTGGGTGGGGAACGTGGACTGTCCAGCCAACGTCTCGTCCCTCAAGAACTTTTGGAGGCAACGCGCACACCCTTGTACCACCGACGCTGGTCCAAGATCCAGCCCAAAGCCGGGTTCCCTCGCTCCACGGTTATGGTCAAGTGGCGTGATGTATGATTGTGCCCGATCCGAATCAACCACGGATTCTCATCTACCTAGGGAAGGGATTATGCTCCACCTCGACATCCACTGTGATACCATCTCTTCTGAGCCTCTGGAGCGAGAAGTCTTGAGACCAGTGCGTACAGCTGGGCTTGGGATACGGATACGCAAAGTACCACTTTCCCCCGCCGTCAGCAAGTGCGGAAGAATCATCGTACCTGATTCCGCGAAGCCTTAGATGCTCCAGATACCAAGGGTATCGCGCTTGGTTACCACGTTTGCTCCTCTGCCACATCCACGCCAGGGTCTGGCGTACATCGCTGTCAAGGTCAAACCAGGTCTTGTCCGTCAGCTCGAAGTTGATGGTCAGGCGACGGATGCCAGGGATGGCCGTCTTCTTGAATCTCTGTCACGTCCTCGAGGTGAGGGTGCCATGCCACTCGACCGAGCAATTCTGCCAGACTGCCTCAGCGACTTCAGCCCTCAAGTGGGGGCCCCCCAAGGAAAGCATGAGGCTGTCTATGCCGGTCGGTAGTGGGCCAGGAAGCTTGACGTCGGGCTCCTCAGTGCAGGCGAAACCGAAGATGATTGCTCGGATCTCGGGTGGGAGATCAAAGAGGCGGAAGACAGGTTGGTGGACCTCGTTTGTGTCACGGGCTGCTTGTTGCACGCGAGCCGTGTCTGACGCGTGGTTGCCCTGGCTCGCGCGTGTCTCATGCGCCTCTGTTGCCTCGGGCTCTGTCACTTCCTCCAACTCGTTGTCTGATGCCATACTGACTTGCTCCGTTGGTGACGGGGTGATTATGTGGCAAGCGCGGTTGAGATGGCTGATGTGCCAAGTATTGCGCTTGGGTGGAGGGGTCTGAAAGGGTTCATGTTTCTTCTGCTGTCTGATAGCTTCAAGTACAGATGCCTCCAGGCATTGCCTAAAAGTTAGGGCCTTTAGGAAGGCACCCGTATTTGCTTTGCCAATGCACAAATCAAGCCACAGTGGAGCGGGGTTCATTTGCAACAAACGTCAGCCAAACCGTATCACTAGACAAAAAGGAATCATTTGTTCTTGGTTATACAATTAGCTGTCACCGGTGACTAGCATACGATGATTCCAAGCAGTCTGTCAAAGACTGTATTGAAAGAACTCATCTTTTACCTACGTAGTACTAGCCTTGAGGCTTTGGGCATCTGGAGATGCACACGGCTCGTTGCCACAACTCTTCTCCATGAAGCCAATGATTGATCACCTTCAATACTCATCCCCATATACTGTGTTATCCGGATCGTCATGACGGCTTGTGGCGATTTTGTTTGATCTTGCAATGTGGGAGACTTGAGCTTCGGCCCATTCATTGATACTGCACAATTTTTAGAACTGATGGCAGCCTTGCATCCATCAAGGCCTTCAATAGTCTAATTGACCGTATGGTTTCTCCCCTATGGTTTCTCCTACCCTGTTTCTCACCCAAGTGGGTCATAGAAGATCCAATGAGCAGGATGAATCCATCTTTGAGTTTCTAAGGGTCATCTCGGTGTGGATAGCTGCTCAAGAATTCAGTATTAGAAGAATCTTTTGATGCGAAATGTTCAGCGTGGTTGAAAGAGAAACGTCCAGGTGGCAATGCCCAAGTGTTAGATCATGCGGTACTTAAAACTGCTGTAACTAGTAGAGCATTAGAAAGAGTTTCACCCATTATTGCCTACCTAGCTCTGCCTGTTTCAACTCGACCCTAATACCACGTTGTCTATTGCACAAAACTATCGAGACATATCTCTTGACCAGGACGAAGGCAATTAATTTGCAGGGCCGTGTTCCGCTCAGATGCCTGGGAGGTTAAAACGTTTATTCACTTGACAATTGACATGTCTTACACTCGGTATTCATTCAGTCGCACTCTGGACAGATGTGTTAGGAGTGAAGGCATAAGCCCCAATCATCTTTTGATTGACTCTCAATGTTCAAGGTCTAGATACAGCCCCGGAGGAGTGTTGCCATCTCTGGCAAAGTATGTACATCCAATCAAGTGATTACCAAAAAGGGCTTCCATCCATGCCGGTCAACCCCTTCAAAAACGTCCCGGAGGCGGCCGGATTTACTCGAGGTCGAAAGCCGCGGCGCCAATGTACTTCTGCTGGCTGGAGGCGCCGGTCTGCTCGACCTCGAGCTCGGAGGCGGGGATGGTGTGCTTGCCGCTCTGGTTGGAGGAGGGGGTCACGGGCTGGGTGACGGTCAGGACGAGGCCGCCGTCGGCCTTGGCGACGGTGAAGGTGCGCGAGGACTCCTCGCAGGTGCCGTCGGTGATCTCGGGCAGGGAGCCGTCGCTGACGACCTGGGCGCGGCACTTGACGGGGATGGTCTCGCCGTTGCCGGCCTGGATGATGCCGAACTCGTAGCTGTGGGGGGTTAAGTGTCAGTACCGAGGCTGGTTTGGTATGGTATAGCATGGGATGGCTGTTGGGTGATGGCGGGGAGATTTGACTTACACGCACTGAGCGCTGTGGGGAATGCACGAAGCGCTGAAGTCGGAGGCCTTGAAGACGGCCGAAGCGCTGGCCACGGAGGCAGCGGCGAAAGCGACGATGGCGGCGGTGAACTGCATCTTGAAGGTTGGGGTTTGGAGGTTTGGAGGTTTGGAGGAAAGAGGTGGTGGAGGTGTCGAGTTGTTGTATGAGGAGTGAGGAGTGAGATGCTGATGCTGAACCAAACTCGGAATGAAAGGCGGAAGTTGTGGTGATATTTATGTCTACCATGTTACGCTACATCTGCTTTGTCGTCTTCTGTCCCCCATTGGAATACGAGCATGGCAACATCGAAGAAGGGAAATGATAGGCATTGGTGGATCCGGCTGAGGACGTTGTCACGTTACTGGCCATCATCGTCCGGGGGCTCCGACTTGTTTGTGCTGGGGCCAATCGTAATGCTTGTTCCCAACCTTAATCGCCCCCTGGATTGGTTTCCCATTACTGTACCGTGGTAGCTGTCTCTCGCCTGAAAGCTGCGTGCTTTTGACTGCATGATGGTATTATACGGGCTGAGGGCCCTGCTGGTCTCCTGTGCTTGGTTCAGTTGTTTCCCCACCGGCGCCTCAGTGTGCCTCTTTACTTGCCGGCTCACCAGCCCGTCGACTTACTGTGCCAAGAATATCTCTAATTACACGAACACATCAATGCTGGAAGTACGTCTTGTGGCCAGTTGTGAGATCATTCCAGTTGGATAATGCCAACATTTGCCCTGGTATGATACCGAGGCACATATCGTCATTGTTACAGGGCCTCTCCCGTATAGAACAGGTGGCTCGGCTGACCCTCACAATGCTCTGTTGGCCCAAGAGCGTACCGGCCCACAGGGTTCAGGGGCGGCCCGTTTTTGCGGGGAATTCGAACCAACCGCCCTGCCGCCCTACTCGGAGATCTACCGCCAGCTAACATGCAATGCTGGCATGCCGCACTGCTGCATGAAATGGGGTTGTTGGGACGAGATCGAGGCCTCGGACAAAGTGGTGTGGGGTCAGGGGGAATGCTCGTGTTGGCGCGGGGGAAATGCGCTTGGAGCTTTCTCAGCGGACAGCGCGTGGTGGTTAGAGAGGAGCCCAGCGAACCCAATTGCTGGGTACGGCATGTTCGGGAGTCGGTCGATGGACTCAGCCTTCCCGCATGAACAGCGGTCTCCACAATGTTCCTCGGCTCCTATTCGTGTATTCCGCGCTGTCCCTCAACGTGTCTCTATACAGTAAATGCGATGCACGGCGCACAGCTGAAGTGCTATTCCGTGTAATGTTGGCAGCATCCATGTGGCTTCATCGTATTGCCGCCCAACTACACTGCGTCCATGTAGAGACAGATTGTGATCTTCCGCCCTTCCCGGCAACTCGGCATGACACAATCGGAAGAGCCTTTTTTTTTTTAGGTACACAATTATTAACATGCTGGCTTGAGCCTTGCATCGTTGTGGAGCTGGTTGATCACGACTTGAGGGGTTCTAGAAAGTCGGGGAGTGTTCTATGGAGTCCGAGTCTAAATTTATACGAGCACACAGGCACCCCTGAAGTCTAGAGTAACTACTGGGTCCTTCAGGTACTTGTAGTAAGTATATTTCCTCGCTCTTTCCATCGTGTACATCACAACATGGTGCGCTGTCTTTGGCTCGGCAAGGAGGCGGGCGAGCTGATCCAGTCTTCCGTTTAGCCAGCACCAATCACTCATCCCCCCCTGGAAAGGACATGTCTTCGTGTTCAATCCGAACAACTACCTAGGTGTCCTGGGTGTACGTTCAGAAAGTCATGGAAACTCAATCACCACACCACTCATCCCAGTGTACATCAATGACATGGTGTTGGGTTGTTGAGTCATGGGGCCTGAACCGCATTCCTGGAATAAAGTTCAACCGGTGCTGGAAACAGCTGCAATAAGACAGCAGCGCAGGAGCAACGGATTGGCAGATTCGTAGCTTGTCGCTTGAGTCTCTCGAGAACACATCAACCTTGTCCCATAGCACAGCTGCTTTAGGAGGAGTATACCTGGTGGAGCATCGTACCAAACTCCTGGCCACGATCTCACCGCCTCACCCAACGCCGTTGGTTGGCCCTGCAACATAGAACCAACCCCTGACTGGCGGAATCGCTCGCCCCAGCTCTCGACAACAAGCCCGTCATATTCACCGACCAAGTGGCCGCACGACACGATGTCAGTGTCACAATGTCCATCACATGGCCACGTCGAGCTTCACATGTTGAACCAGAGTGGGCGGCGTTGAGTATCATGAAGTAAATCGAACTAACTCTAAGCCACACTAATGCTGTTTCTATTTGTAGTGGGCGATATCAATTAGGAACTCTGAAAAGCCGATCTAAATCTCCTCCATCTAGTATACCTCCAGCTTGCCTGAAGATGGTGCTTTAGTTAATAGCTTGATTCCCGTGTCCCCAAAATTGTTATCTCCTTGGCACCCATCAGCACGTACCCAATGCTATTCCAAAACCAAGTCAATGACACCCCGCACAACGTATATCCAATCTGACTGCACTTCTATGCGATATTCTAAGGGCTGGCCGACTGCTCCCCTTCGCTTTTGTCCCTTGTCTGGTCTTTGCTCTGGCTCTCAAAATCCATCATCTCGTCGTCGTGTTCGAACCCAAAGTCCTTGAACTTTCTGGATGGCAGGTTAATCGCAAACATGTGGTCCAGCTCCTCGAAAGTGCGGCCCTTGGTCTCGGGGAGACAGAGGAAGCAGAACAGCGCACAGAGGCCACCAATTCCGGCGAAGATGAACCCGATCTTGCCTCCGAGATTAGCCTGATCCTTATTGATGAGGAACGGAACGCCAACAGCCAAGGCGATGGCACAGATCTGGTAGAAGGCAGAGGAGAGGCCGATGTTGAAGCCTCGCAGCCGGGCCGAGGACACCTCGGACATGAGGACGAAGCCGTAGGGGCCGATGGTGATGTCGTAGACGAGGTTGCACGTGACAATCAGCGCACTCTGGCCCCAGGAAGAGGGAGCCGTTCCCGTCGATGGGCGAGGGACGAGGTCCAAGACGCCGATGCCGCCCTGCAGGAGCGCGAGGATGATGCAGCCCCAGAGGTATGCGTCGCGGCGGCCGAGGAACTGCAGGAACCACCACGCGGCGCACGAGCCGGCAAAACCAATCGCGTTGACGCCGACGTTCATTGTGAAGGCGTCGCCGGCGCTGAGCCCGGAGAGCTCGAAGAAGTAGACGGCAAAGTCGTGGAACACGACGGCCCCCACGAGGGCCTGGATCGCGTAGGTCATGAGGCAGATGACGAGGCGGCGCAGGTCCGCGCCCCGGAAGCACTCGCGCATTCTCGGAGGGGCGCCCTGCTTGGCCTCGTTCTCGGCGCGCAGCGTCTCGCGGACGAAGCTCAGCTTGAGGGACGGGTCGACGTCGGCGGACGCGAGGCGCCTGAGGGAGCGCTCTGCCGCCTTGTACTCGCCGCGCTTGCACAGCCAGTAGGGCGGGTCCGGGCAGAAGGGCCCGAGGGTGAAGAGGAGCATGAGCACGGGCAGGGGCCACTGGCTGGCGATGGGGAACTTGTAGGCCCACTGCGAGGTGATGTTGCTGGCGACCTTGAGGATGCCCGAGCCCGTGAGCTGGCCCGCGACGAGGAGCATGTTGATGGCCGAGGCGGCGAAGCCGCGCAGCACGACGGGGCACACCTCGCCCACGTAGGCGGTGGCACAGACGGTGAAGAAGGAGATGACGCAGCCGTTGAGCAGGATGCCGGCGACGAGCTGTGCTGGGTGGCTGGCGAAGAACTCGACGAAGACGAAGGCGATGGACAGGGATGAGCTGAGGGCGATGACTTTCCGTAGGCCGAGGCGGTCGTAGGCCATCCCAGCGCAGAAGGCCCCGATGATAGAGCCGACCTTGTTGGCATAGTTGAATGCGCCCAGCCAGTGTGCCTCGATGATGTAGTCGCCTTGGTACTCGACACCAAAATGTTGCTTGAAGGGTTTTATGCCCACGAGGGCGCCGATAACCTGCCCGTCCAGGCCCTGGCAGAGCGTTGCGAAGTTGACGACCAGTGCCCACAAGACAGCTGGATAGTAGAGCTTTATGGCGCCGCAAAAGGTTAGGGAATGCTCCGTTTCCGTATAGCGTGCTGCCTTCTCGGCCTCGCTGTCGTAGAGTAGGTCGACTTTGGATGCTGTCCTCGATGTTGTATTGGACGTTGCATAGGATGTCGTATTGGAAGTCGCGCTGGATGTGGTGGTAGATGTCGTGTTGGAGGTGGTATTGGAAGTTGTATTAGACGTGGTGTTGGCTGTTGTTGTGTTGCTGAGGCCGGCAACACAGACAGATGAGGGGGCTGTGCTGGGAGGAAGAGAGGCAGCAGCAGCCTCCAGCAGCTGTGGAGGATACACAACGTCCGACATTATGCGATGCTGTGGATAATGTCGTCGGGAGAAGGTAATGGGAGACAGGTGATAACTTGGCTTGTTCAATATTGACTTGAGAACTTGAGGTTGTGGATACCGGGAACAGTCTGTTGGATGACAGGAACAGAGATGGTAGCCATCAGTTCCTGATGACCTGAACCCATATAGGTGTACAGAAACCGGCAATTAATTTCGTCCATTATTGTGCTGCCCATCAAGCCTGCCGTGCAGCGGAAATATTGTGCTCTACCCGCGTAAATTTTCCAAAATCGCACCTCACACACACTAACAAGGCGCCTACTGTAGAGCCCGTCGCCCTTAGTCCCGGCCCCAAAGCCTCTGGGGAAGCACTTTTCGAAAATAGCCACACTTTATTCCACTCGAAGGGAACAAATGCTCGAAATACATGGCCCCGACCTCTCCTAGCGCCAACTTGACAGGGGCGCGGTCCTAGGTGTTCCATCTATTGCCCTTTTCTCGCCCTAGCCTCTGCCGTTCTGACGCAACACTTTCGAAGTAGCATGGCATAGACCAAACCTCATGCACAAGACAATGCGCACCCAAAATTAGATGTGAGGAAAAAGAGTGAGGAGCCAACACGACCTGCTGCATCGATCAAGAGACGAGATCTGGTGGCTGTGCGACCTGAGAAGCTCAAATGCCAGGAGACACAAAGGTGCGGTACGCCCGGCCACCTAGTGACACACTGACATCCGTTCGCCTCGCTACTTACACAAATTCAAATTCGGAAAATTCGAAGTTTGATTGGACGCTTCCCAACACACGGGCGTGAATGCGGTACGAAAATCCCGGGAGCGACCCGTGTACAGATCCATAGGCGTGCAAATCTAGTGACAGGTCGAACACGACCCTCCCCATCTCCTGCCGACCCCAGAAAACAGCTGTTGCGCGACCAAAAGTCCCGGAGCCGTATTACGAGCTGTAGTGCGTGATCAAATGATGATGACATTTTCGGTGGCCATGTTGTGGGGATCACCTGATGACGATGTTGACTTATTGCTGATTTGGGCCACCCCGATCCGAATATATGTGTGTTGAAGTTCAGGAACCCGTAGTAAGGCTAGAGCGAGCGTGTATCGGGCTCTCTTTGAGATCGGGCCTTGTTTGTCGGCGACAGAAAGGACATGCAGGCAGAACAGCGGCTCCGTCTCTCTGCCTCTCCAGGCGGCGGTTTCGGTATGGTCATCAACCCACAACTCCCCATTATCAGGTCGGCCATTCGCTGATCCGACATTGACAGAGCTGTTCTTCCGTGGATATTCACGGACGTTGAATATCTCTACAGGACCTCGCATGTGCAGCTCAGTAGACATCCTGACAACCCCGCCAAATGGGTTCCGGGGGTTGACCAGAACTGGTGCAGGGTACGTGGTAACCTTAGCCAGCCACTTGAATTCCTTTGCCCGATTAGATTCGAGAGTCCGTCCGGTCCATTCGGACGATATCACCCCATCAACAGCCGCCCAAGACCAGGACGGTGCCCTGTACTCATTGTTCCGCATAGGGTTTCCTGCATCTGACACACCGATCAATGGTAAGCCCGGGTGATGCTTCCACAAGAGATCCTGGCGGAAAGTCGGCTTCCATAGACCCGCCAGATACTCGGCACCGGTAGACTGAGAATGCTTCTGCGCGATTGCTGCCAGCGCCGGGAGCTTGTCGTGCGGGTTTGTCAGGTTCCGCGTCGTGTACAACTCCAATGTGAGCTCCCAGGACCTCGCAGTCACATTCCCATCCCGGGCCACGGAGAATGTGTAGCGTGACGTGTTCATCATGAACCGGGCATGCTCGGTACCGGGGTCCGTTGTCCCCGCCTTTGTTCGTCCGGTGGAGTCACATGCTCTTGACTGACCGGAGTACACGCACAGTATTTCTCTCTTGCATTTCCACAGCAAGCCGAATGAGGTGTAGAATAGGACGCGGGTGGAGAGAACATTCTCTTGCAGGGTCCACGCACGGCTGTTTATGGGCTCCGACTTGAAGCCCGGGGTGTCGTTGCGCCAGGTAGCACGCGCCCAGAGGGCCACCTCCCTGGGTCCCGACGACGCCCAGCCGCTGACGAAGGGGAGGTCACAGTGGCTCCCGCGGAACAAGCCACCTGAAGCGTTCTGTGCGGCTGCGGCTGAGATGGTAACATATGCATTCCTGTAGACGTTTTCCATCTTGGCAACTTCAATGTTCCAGTCATTGATCGCCTCGGGGTCCTGGCCCTGGAAAATACAAAGTGCATCGACCCAGAGATACCGCAGGCCGATTTCTCTCGTTACCCTCACCGCATCCTGTAATGTTTGAGGGAGCTGAGAGAGATGGAATCCATCTCGTAAGTCCTCGAGGCTATCAGCCGTGAGGACGAAATGGTTTGAGCGACCCCAGCAGTAACTCAAGGCCGCGTATCTTCCCGCAGCCCCTTCGTCTGGCACAACAACTCGGAGATATGTCGCCTCGTCATCGTTCAGTTCGATTACCCTCGTAGGTAAAGGTGCTTCCAGTGTACCGCCGCAGATGTGAGAGCCGGCGCATGTGTCCAGTTGGGTTTTCACCCACTCGAAGGACCTTTTCAGGATCGATTCTGGGTTCTCGGGCTCGGAGGCTGGTGTCTGGGGTGCCAGGAAAGGAATAGCTATGACATGGTGTTAAAATGAAATTCATCAAGAGCCTCTGTTCTCGCCGTACCATCTCGCGAGCTTTCATATTGATCGCGGATGACTGTTATATCGAGCTTCGCCGTCACAGGGTGTTCGGAATAACCGTACAATACTGCAAACATGCAGTCTTGTTTATCGACGCCGCGAAACCCATCGTACTTCTCGAGGCACACGTATGTACTTGAAACGTCTTTGGCATCGACCACGCAGTACTTCAAGTTAAGAGAGTAAGTCAGCAGCCCGCAGAACGTACATCCGATCCTACAGCCGGTTACGATGTCAGCAATGGGGCGGGGCTCATATGACAGGTCAGGACTGTCAAAGTCGATGCAGAAACATGCCGGGCAAAGTCCATAGGTGAGGTATTCGTCGACCTCCATCTCGAAGCGGCTGCTTATAGGAAATCACACGAAGCTGCGAGCTGGTCAGTTTCCACCTGCCATTCGCGGGGAAGAAGGCACGGAGCAGGACACAAACAGCACGCCTGCAAGTGGGCCGAGATCGAATGCCCCAATGCGTGCAGTGTGGCTAATCATGAGTTTGGAGGCAGTGCATGCACGAGAGGCATCACACCAATCACATTTGACGAGCCCCAGCACACGATGTGACTTGGCGAGATAATGCGCAAGAGACGCTGGGCTCCATGATCCTTCGGGGGAAAAGTGCTGAAGGAGCAACCATGCATTGCGAATGATTCAATTGCTCAGACACGGAACTCGAAATGTCATCTGTCTTGGCCTGGATATTCCAAATTCACAAACAATTGTTGATGGCTATTCTTATAAATGATCTACGCCGTCCATAGGCCGTTACAGCTGCCATGACAGTGATGTGTAGCAAAGGCTGATTCTAACTCGCGTGAGGGTATTCCGGTAGCAAGGAATCCCTTACTTTCAACTCCTGTTCACATCATCCTCGTGGAAAACAAGAACCCGGACCTCGATACTATGCCTTGGCTCTCTGTCGGCCATTTCAGCGTCAGTGAAAGCGGCGTGCGGGACCCTCCTTGCACGCCCATCAGTCTTCCAGTCGTAACATTTGATCAACATGACCTGCTCCGGAGTCTGTTCATTCTTGAAGTACCAGCGGTGGTTCTTGTTGGGCAGGATTGTGCACGGCTCTCCCACCCAGCCGGGGTGAATCAACTTGACGGGCAGGATGTCCTCGTCCGGCACCGAGTGAGAGTCGCAGACAGCCAACGGGTCCTTGCGGATAGTCTTGATCGGACGCCACACGTTGATGATCTGGAAGCGAGACTCCAGCAGGCGATCGGCGTCCTCGCCCAGGTGGCGCGTGACTTGTTGCCTCGCCGCCCACTCTGACTGGTCGATATGCGCCCGCTTCACCGGCCGGCGCTCGTCGTCAGAGCTCGCGGCCGTGGGGTTTGGTCGGCGGATCGTGTGGTCAAAGACAAAAAGTCTTGAAGCTCCGGTACTAGTATCCAGTCAGCTTAATGGTTACCATGACAGCCCGACGGATTTGTCTGCACGTGTCATGACCTACACTTCACGGACCAGCTGCTCCACCTCAGGGTAGTACTCCTGTTTGATGAGGTCGTCATTGTCGAATTCCTTCATACGACTCACATGATCGCAGAGTTGGAATCCGTGGCTGTCGAGTGTGAACTGGTCTTCGCTCCCAGAGATGTCGGTGACGAGAGTGTCCAGATCAATAGAAGGCTGGTTGAAGGTGCTTCTCTTGCCCGCAATGCTCGGGGCATGTTCTGTTCCGTCACCAGGGTCTCTGTAATAATTGATCGTGGTTTGGACATGCCGCGGCTTGATGCCTGATGTCGGTGGCTTGATGCCTGATGTCGCCGGCAACACTTGAATCTTTTCCAGCAGCATTGTGATGTCTTCTACACTGATGAGTAATGTGCTGTGGGTACTGATAGTCGATCTTTGGCGGTTAGTCCAAGCTGTCTTGCGGTAAGATATGGCCGTTCGCTAGTGTTTGGTCGGCAGCCAAGGCGCAAAACGGCAACAAGCCGGGCGGGCCCTGCTCGAATGTCTCGGTTAGGAAGGATGCCGCGTCAAAAATACGCGTGTAGTATCATGCGTAAAATCATCGGTTTGGCAAACGCGTCTGGAGCTCGGCTTGAGGGCATGTGTATTTGGGTTCAATTCGCTATGCTAGTGAAAATGAACATATAATGAGGCAGAGCGGGATTGGTCTAGTCCTGTGGCTACTATCTGGCTGTTCTCTTGGGGAAAACGACCAGAGTCCGTGGGAAGATCAGTGCGCGGCGGGATGCAACCTAGGCCATGATCATAGTATTGTACTCTGTCGGATACCTGATGCCACCCGTCACTTACTGTCAACTTGATTCACCAACTATAATATTGCTGTACCTAAGCATTTGTGCATTGGCTCCTTCGTATCCAGTGTTGGACTCCTACGCACTCTCGTGTGTTCTGCTTGGGAGATGACTGAGTCGTACAACCTCGGCGTCTTTCCGCATTAGTTCAGCTCCCGAGAGGCCAGAGCAGGGTTATGGTGACTACACTGCAGCTATCAACACGTTCACTTGAGCCCCAGGGTTGTGCAAGCCAACACGAATAGTGCCCGATTGTTCCAACGCTACGAGAATGGCTGTCATCGGAATCGCTTCGCCCCTTGGACCGGCTTGGGCATCGCCCACTGCCGTGGCCATCTGGGCCCTGGCATGTGTAAGTTACCAAGACACATGGCCCGCACTGCCAAACTGGCCATGTTCTAACATATGTGAATAGTGTGTACTGTATACAGTCTACCATATTACATACAATGTGTTTTCCATCCATTGGCCGGTTTCCCAGGACCGCTGTTGGCTCGATCATCTCTGGTGAGTCCCAGTGTTCGTGACTGCACCCGAAAGAAATGTATGGGCCTAAGTTGTCGAGATAGATATGGAGAATATGGCATTCTATGGGTGGAAAATTTCATCTGGTGATCCAGGAACAGCACCAAAAACTTGGTAAGTTTGTGTTCGCTTTCTGGGGATTTTTAGACTATTAACTCCCGAAACAGGTCCTGTAGTCAGAATCTCCCCGAATGAACTGTCTTTCGCGGCAGTACAGTCATGGAGAGATATTTATGGCCATGCCACTGGAGGAAGGCAGATGATGACAAAGAGTGAATTCTATGACATGTATGGATCCGGCTTCGATTCTCTCTGCATTGGCAGCGAGAGAGACCCCAGGAAGCACGCCCAGATGAAGAAGTCACTGTCAGCCGCATTCTCGACCAAAGCCCTGGCACAGCAAGAGAGCATTGTGATGCGGTGTGTGGACGGCTTTGTGCAGCGTCTCGGTGCCGATGGCGCGTCTGATAAGGGACTCAATATGACGAAATGGTTTGAAATGATCGCATTTGACATCCTCGGCGAAATGGCTTTTGGAGAAACTTTTCACTGTGTCGAGAACGGTGGGTAAGCAAGCACGAGAGGGGGAAAACAGAAGCTGATTCAGACTCCTCAAGGGAAACCGCATTTCTGGTCCGAGATGATTGTCGAGCATCTCTTCTTCGTTACGGTGTTGGATAATCTGCGGCGCTACCCGCTGATCGCTGCTCTCGGACGCAAATGCCTGCCTCGACTTACAGTTTCCGTGCGCGACCGTCATTCAGGCTATAGCCGAGCAAAAGTGGCAAGGCAGGTGATTTCGGGTCGAACGGTTCCTGTGCACCTAGCTAATGTTGCGGCAGGCGGTTGAATGCAAGTTCGGGACGTGAGGACTTTCTGACCAATATTTCGGAAAAGGTTAAGAGTGGCGAAGTGAGCCAAGAAGAAATGACGGCTCACGCGTCCACACTGGTGTAAGTATCTGATGTGCTTGTGTCTACCGAAGAGTTTCGCTGACCAGGGTTGGAACAGCATTGCCGGTGGAGAGACTGTCTCGACATTCTTAGCCGCAGTCACATACTTTCTGCTGAAGAATCCTGCAGCATACCATAGAATGCAGCAGGAAATTCGCGATCGATACAAGAACGAGAGCGAGATTACAGCCATGTCTGCGCAACAGCTTCCATATTTGCAAGCAGTGATCTCAGAGGGACTGAGGATATACCCACCTGGGTCACAAGGGTTCCCACGGACCTGTCCTGGTGCCACGATTGATGGACACTGGGTGCCAAAGGGAGTGAGTGGTCCCTTTACTGTTCTCAAACGTAGATGCTGATTGACATAATGTGAAAGACCGAGGTTTATACAAGTGCGTGGACCGTCACTCACGACGAGAATAACTTCCACGACCCACATGCATTCAAGCCGGAACGATGGCTAGATCCGGCCCGCAAGGATAACCTCGAAGCAAGCCAGCCATTTTCTCTAGGCCCTAGAGGTTGTCTCGGCAAAAAGTGAGTAGATTTCCTTGGAAGCAGCCCTTTCCAGTTTGGCCTCCGAAAGCTAATAGCCCGGGCTCACTGGTGCAGTTTTGCCCTGGTTGAGATCAACCTGATCATGGCTAAAACGCATTTCGCCTACGACTTGGAGCTTCGGGATACGGACTTGGACTGGCTGCAGCAGAGCCGCATGCATGTGATGTGGAGCAAACCCGCGATGTACGTGAGATTTCATCCAGCTAGGAAGTAACCTGGGTGAACATACATCTGCAGTGATAGAGAGCTTTCATTTCTTAGATGATGTGTGGAAATGATGCAAGTAGCCTAGTAGCCTGGCAAATCGGTTGGTGAAATGCATTGTTGCTCTTCCGTCCCTGTCAACATGTCATTTGCAGGTCCTTGCCAACTCCGGCGCTGCCTCGAGTGAGGCTCTCCTCTGAAACCAGGTCTTTAGGCGCCATGCTCTCTCGCTGGATGCCCAGCCCCGACGGGAGAGCGCTGTGTGTGGAAAACAAAACGTTACCCCCCCCCCCTGTCGTTTTGACTCATGCTCCCCCCCTCCGCTCCAACATCTCAAATCCTCTTAATATAAGCAATTTCTTATATAACTATATAAATATAATTATTAATAATATAAACCTATATATTTTTATAATCCTTATTATATAAAGAATATAAATATATACTTTTATATATATAATAAATATATTTTCTTTTTAAATATATTTTATAAAATATATAATATATTATAATTTAAAATATTTTAATATTAAATTAAATATATATATATATTAAATAATTTTTATATTATATATATATATATATATATATATATTATATTATATAAAATATATAATAAAATTAAACTTTATTAAATATATAAAAATAAAATTATTTATTTTATATATTTTATTTATTACATTAATATTTTTAAAAAAAATTTAATAAAATAAAACTTATATATTATTGGCGGGTGCAGGGAATTACGTAAGAAATGATATCGCGTTAAATTCCGGCTAGCTATAAAAAGCTAGCTTTTACGCTTATTTTAAATATTCTTTTAAGAAATTAACTTTTCTCTTTTCTTATATATTTAATGCTTTAATTAAGCTTTTTTTATTTTTAAGAATTTTTAAAATATTTATTTTTTTTCTTTCTTTAATTCCCTTTTATTTTTATCTTCCCTTTTTATTATATTAAAGCTCCTTCTTAAGTTATCCTTAAGAGGGTTTAGCAAAACTTATCCCTTATTATTTAAGTAGCTTATTTTTATTAATAATTTAGCTTAGGTATAATTTTAATTTTATGCATTTTTAATTAATAATAAGAAAAATAAAAAGTTAGCTATAAGCTAATTATTTATTAATTTTATTTCTTTTTATTTTTATATTAAATATTGCTAAATTATTTTATATATTAGCTTAAAGCTTTAATTAAAGCTTATATTTATTTTTAACTTATTATAAAAAAGAGTTAAGTATAATTAAATTTATAATAATATTATAAGTACCTTAAGATTATTTCTAGTTTTAAAGTACCTTTTATGCTTTTAATATTTAAATAAAATACTACCTTAATTATATATTAATATATTATTAAGCTTTAAATTTATTTTAAGTTTTTTGCTAAAGATTATGCTTAAAATATAATAATAATATAAACTTAAAATTAAAATAATAAATTTAAATTTTATAAATATTACTTAATATTAATTAAAGATATTTTAAACTCTTAATTAATATTTATTATTATTATTATAACCTTAAGCTTAAAATAAAGAAGGCTATAATATAAAATTAAGATACTTACCTTGCTTATTTATAAATTTAATAAATAGCATTATATTATATATTTTTATATTAATTAAATTATATAGGAAATTTAAACTTAAAGTATAACCTTACTTAAGCTTTAATTAAACTTAAATTTAATTTACTAAGAGTTTAATATAATATTAATAAGTAAGGTATTAAATATAAATTTAAGGAGCTTTCTTTATTATAGCTTTATAATTTTTATTTCTTAATAAAATATTCTTTTATTAAGTTTATTTTATTTATTATATTTATTAATATCTTTATCTTTTAAACTTTAATTTAAGTATTTTATAGCAATATTAAAAATAAATTCCTTAAAAATAATTACTTTAATTAAAAATATTATTATTTTTAAGTTTCTTTATTTTATTATTATTTTAATAAAAACTATTATAATATATATATTATATTTTTAAGTTTAAAGCCCTCCTAAACTTACTTTTATTTTAAGAGTACTTTTAAATTTTAAAAACTATTTATTCTTTTTTATTTAAAGCTAAGAAAGGAATTTTAAGAAATTTATTAAGAAAAGAAAAAGATTTAATTTTGCTTATTATTAGTTAAAGCATTAACCTTATTTTAATTAAACCTTATAATTTATTATTAATAATAAGTTAAGAATTTAAATTAATATTTTAAAAGTTTTATTTTTTATTAATATAATAATTTTATTATAAATAGCTTTATTTATAATTTATAATTTAAATATCTTAAAATTTAATAAAATTAATATTATTAAGATTTTAAATAGCTTTAAAATTATTATTTATTAATTTTCTTATTTAAATATTTAAATCTTAAAATTGCTTAAATAACGCTATATTACTTTAAACTTAATAAAAATAATTAAAAGCATTATTATTAAATAATTTATTTAAAAAAATTAAAAGAAAAAGCTTTTTATTTTTTATAAGTTTAATAATTAAATTTATTATATAAATTTAATTATAATTATTAAAAATATTATTTATAATAACCTTTATAATAACTTAAAAGTATAAAAAAAAAAGATTATAAAATATAATTAAGAACTTAATAATATAAATAATATCTTTTTTATTATAATTTAGCTTTTTTATAAGGCGTTTTTATTATATTTAAAAAAGTAGCTAATAAAAAAAAAGATTATTTATAAATTAATAAGAAATATTATTTAATTAAACTTTAAGTATGCTTTATTAAAAGTTATTAATTAAAAACTTAAATATTTTAAGCAAAATAAGTATTTATTTATATAAAATAATTTTAATTAAAATTTATTTAATTTAAAAAAGCTAAATTTCCTTTAAAAAAGCTAAAATAATTTTAATTTTTTAAATTACTTTTAAAATAAAAACTTATAAGCTTAATAATCTTTATTTAAATTTAATTATATTAATATTATTAAAAAATATAATTAAAATTTATAAAATATAAATAAACTTATTAAAAGGTTTATAAAGTTAAAACTTAATTTAATTAAGTTTAAAAATAAATTTAAAGTATTTTAATAAAATATTAAAGCTTTTTCTTATAATAAATAGTAAAGTAATTTTAAAATAATTAAGCTAAGAATTATAAATTTTATTTAATAATCTTTAATAAAACTTAATTAAAATAATTTTAATAATAATAAGGTATAAATTATAATTTTAATGCTTTTTTTTTAAAAAAATAAGTTATTTAAAGTTTGCTATAACTATATTTCTTAAAATTATAATATATATTAATATAATAAGCTTAAGTAACTTTTTTTAAATAGCTTATTAATAGCTTTTAAGCTAAAGAAATTATTAATATTCCTTAACTTACTTAAAAATATTTAAGCTAACCTTTAAAAGTATTTAAACCTTATTTATATTTAATTATATTATAATTAAAATAGTTATAATTTAAAAAAATATATTTATAGCTAATTAAAGTTTTTATTTAAGAAAGAAAGATTTAATTTATCTTATATAATTAAATATTATAAGCTTATTAAGGCGGATTCTTTATTTAAAAAAAAGGCTTTATTAAAAGCTTTAAAAATAATTTAAAAGCTTAATAATTAAAAAAAAGTTAGCTTAATCTTAGTACTTATAAATCCTATAAATTATATAATTTATATTAAGGAAAAGCTTATAATTATAAATAATAATAAGCTTCTTTAAATAAATATTACTATAATTAAGAAAAAGTATATAATTAAAAATATTAAAGATTAAAATAAAGTTATAAAAACTATAAAAGCTAATTATATTTAACTTAAAGACTTTAAAAAAGTAAAAAATAATTAATCTTAAATTATTAATAATAAATTATAGCTAAGAAATAAAAAGAAAGTAAAAAAAAAAAAAAAACTTATTTATTAATTAAAATTAAATTTAAAAGAAAAATGCTAAGTTTCTTATAATAAAAATAAGCTTAATAAATATAATAAACTTAAAATTAAAAAAATATATTTAATAACCCCTATTATTTAAGGAAAAAGCAGCTTAAGCAATTTTAATTATAATTATTAAAATAAGTATTATAAATATTTTAATACTTAATAATATTAATTTAACCTTAATTAAGTACTTATTAATAGTATAATTTAAGGCATATATCTTATTAAAAATACCTTTTAAATTAATGCATTTTAAGAATTATATTAAAAACTTATCTTTTAAAGTTAGCATAATTATTCTTTTAAGAAATAATATTAAGGTTAATACTTTAATTAATTTATTATAAATTATTTAATATTAAGTTAACTTTATTATTATATTTATTATAAATATAATTAATTAAGGATATTTTAATTTAACTTACTTAATAATTTATATAAAGGTAAATAATTATTCTTTATAGCTTACTTTTTTAAATATTAAAGCTAAAATAAATCTTTTATTTTTATTATATTATAAATATAATAAACTTTTATATGCTTTACTTAATAATATAAATTTAATAATATATAATAAGGATTTTTTATTTTTAATTAAAGTTATAAAAAAGTAAATTTATATTAATTTAAATAAAATTAAAGCTATATTCTTTATTATTAATAATAAAGCTTTTAATACTTTATATTATATTCTTTTAAAAATATTCTTTTTTTTAAATATAAACTTAATATTTAAATAATTAAAGAAATATCTTTATGCTTATTTTATTTTTAGCAATATTAAGATAATATATAGTTTAAGATAAAAGAACTAAAAGCCCTTTAAAGTAGCTTCTTTTAAAGAAGCTTAGGTTTCTTAAAAGTACTTATTAATTTTTAAAAGCATTTCTTTACTTTCTTTAAACCTTAATTAAAGCTTAATATTAATTAATATATTAATAATATTAACTTATTTTAATATTAAGGTAAAAAAAAATAAAAAGATTTTAAGTAATTCTTTTAAATAAGAATATAAGAAATTTAGTTTTTATATTTATAAAAGATTTTTAAATTAAAGTTTAAAAGATTTATTAAGTTAAAGGA